CACAAGATCCTATTCGATTAGTAACAGATGATCTTAGAAAATACGATGACATTTTTAGAGCTATATCGTGTTCAAATGCGAGGACATTGAGATATTGTACCAACTCCCACTCCAACGTCTTTGCCAACGAAGATATTAATGTGAAAGGATTTGGAACAGAATCCTTTTTGGGTTGGACACGTAGAGACTTCGTTTGACATCACTTGACAACCATAAACCCATCCTACAAGACTAAAGGAGAAAGATATTGTCCGATCTGGTTGAAGATGGAAACCATAATATGGTACGTCTCTATGGTGGTAGATAATGTTAATCTGTGATATAGAGTTCTGCTAGAAGGTTCCAGCAGTCACATGAATGCGAAAAACAAAAGTTCTTTGAAACTATTAGGAGTTTATAAACACATTTTAACATGCTTAGAGATTATTTGACACATTTTGATATTTTTTGACACATTACAACAGTTTTTGTCACATCTATTTGATGATTTTTGGAACCTTCAGAAACTTTTAAATACTTTTTGGATTATTTTACATATTTCGACACTTCTTGTCATATGAGAGCACCTTTTGACACATTTTGACAGTTTTTGTCAGATACTGTTTGCCTATTTTTAGAACAAATTAATCAAAATTTCATATTTTTGTATTTTTCTCGATATTGACACATCTGAGAGCAATAGTGAAAGAGAGCAATATTATTAATAATAAAATTTGCTACAACTTTTGTTCTAAAAGTTTTTTTATAACATGATCCGTTTCCCGAGTGTTACCATTAACTACTTGAAAAAGCAACAAATTCATCAAAATTTTATATTTTCGTATTTTTCTCGATATTGACACATCTAACAGTAAAAGTGTAAGAGAGCAGTATTATTAAGAATAAAATTTGCAACAACTTTTGTTCTAAAAGTTTTTTTATAACATAATCCGTTTCCCGAGTGTTACCATTAACTACTTGAAAAAGCAATAAATTCATATTTTCGTATTTTTCTCGATATTGACACATCTAAGAGCAATAATAAAAGAAACAGAAGTTCTTTGAGACTACTAGAAGTTTGTAAACACTTTTGAACATGTTAAGAGATTATTTGACACATTATAACAGTTTTTGTCACATACTGTTTGACGGTTTTTGGAACTTTCTGAGACTTTTTAATACTTTTTAGATTATATTACATATTTCCACACATTTTGACATATTAGGGTACCTTTTGACACATTTTGACATTCTTTAACACATTATGAAAGTTTTTGAAACATATTGTTTGCCAATTTTTGCAACCTTCTGACACATTTCGACACGTTTTGAGCTTATTTGACTTCTTTTGACACTTTTTAACACATTATAACAATTTTTTACACATTGTTCGAATCTATTTGGAACTATCAGAGGTTTACTAACGCAACAATTTGATATTTCTTGATAATTTTTGACACTCGCATGGTAACATCCGACTTTTGCTCTTCAACATCGTTATATTCATCATCAAAAGATCCTATTTGATCAATAACAGATGATTTTGGAGAACACGACTACTTTTTAGATTATTTTACATATTTCGACACTTTTTGACACATTAGGGCACCTTTTGACACATTTTGACAGTTTTTGTCACATACTGTTTGCCTATTTTTGGAACAAATTCATCCAAATTTCATATTTTTGTATTTTTTTCGATATTGACGCATCTGAGAGCAATAGTGAAAGAGAGCAATATGATTAACAATAAAATTTGCTACAACTTTTGTTGTAAAAATTTTTTTATAACATGCTCCGTTTCCAGACTGTTACCATTAACAACTTGAAAAACCAAAAATTCATAAAATTTTCATATTTTCGAATTTTTCTCGATATTGACGCATCTACAAGTAAAAGTACAAGAGAGCAATATTGTTAAGATTAAAATTTGCAATAACTATTGTTCCAAAGGTTTGTTTATAACACGCTCCGTTTCCCGAGTGTTACCATTAACTACTTGAAAAAGCAACAAATTCATCAAAATTTCATATTTTCGTATTTTTCTTAATATTAACGCATCTAAAGGTAAAAGTGTAAGAGAGCAATATTGTTAACAATAAAATTTGCAATAACTATTGTTGCAAAAGTTTTTTTATAACATGCTTCGTTTCCAAAATGTTACCATTAATAACCAAAAAAGGCAACAAATTCATCAAAATTNAACATTCTTTTACATATTGTTCGACCCTATTTGGAACTATCAGGGGTTTACTAACGCAACAATTTGATATTTCTTGATAATTTTTGACACTCGCATGGTAACATCCGACTTTTGCTCTTCAACATCGTTATATTCATCATCAAAAGATCCTATTTGATCAATAACAGATGATTTTGGAGAACACGACTACTTTTTAGATTATTTTACATATTTCGACACTTTTTGGCATATTAGGGCACCTTTTGACACATTTTGACATTTTTTGTCACATACTGTTTGCCTATTTTTGGGACAAATTCATCTAAATTTCATATTTTTGTATTTTTTTCGATATTGACGCATCTGAGAGCAATAGTGATAGAGAGCAATATTATTAACAACAAAATTTGCTACAACTTTTATTCTAAAAAATTTTTTATAACATGCTCCGTTTTCAGACTGTTACCATTAACAACTTGAAAAACCAAAAATTCATCAAATTTTCATATTTTCGAATTTTTCTCGATATTGACGCATCTACAAGTAAAAGTATAAGAGAGCAATATTGTTAATAATAAAATTTGCAATAACTATTGTTCCAAAAGTTTGTTTATAACACGCTCCGTTTCTCGAGTGTTACCATTAACTACTTGAAAAAGCAACAAATTCATCAAAATTTCATATTTTCGTATTTTTCTTAATATTAACGCATCTAAAGGTAAAAGTGTAAGAGAGCAATATTGTTAACAATAAAATTTACAATAACTATTGTTGCAAAAGATTTTTTATAACATGCTTCGTTTCCAAAATATTACCATTAACAACCAAAATGGCAACAAATTCATCAAAATTTCATATTTTCGTATTTTTCTTGATATTGACGCATCTAAAAGTAAAAGTACTAGAGAGCAATATTATTAACAATAAAATTTGCTACAACTTTTGTTCTAAAATTTTTTTTATAACATGCTCCGTTTCCAGAGTGTTACCATTAACAACTTGAAAAACCAAAAATTTATCAAATTTTCATATTTTCGAATCTTTCTCAATATTGACGCATCTACAAGTAAAAGTACAAGAGAGCAATATTGTTAAGAATAAAATTTGCAATAACTATTGTTGCAAAAGTTTTTTTATAACATGCTTCGTTTCCAAAATGTTACCATTAATAACCAAAAAAGGCAACAAATTCATCAAAATTTCATATTGTCGTATTTTTCTTGATATTGACGCATCTAAAAGTAAAAGTGCTACAGAGCAATATTATTAACAATAAAATTTGCTACAACTTTTGTGCTAACATTTTTTTTATAACATGCTCCGTTTCCAGAGTGTTACCATTAACAACTTGAAAAACCAAAAATTTATCAAATTTTCATATTTTCGAATTTTTCTCAATATTGACGCATCTACAAGTAAAAGTACAAGAGAGCAATATTGTTAAGAATAAAATTTGCAATAACTATTGTTCCAAAAGTTTTTTTATAACATGCTTCGTTTCCAAAATGTTACCATTAACAACCAAAAAAGGCAACAAATTCATCAAAATTTCATATTTTCGTATTTTTCTTGATATTGACGAATCTAAAAGTAAAAGTGCTAGAGAGCAATATTATTAACAATAAAATTTGCTACAACTTTTGTTCTAAAAGTTTTTTTATAACGTGTTCCGTTTTCAAAGTGTTACCATTAACAACTTGAAAAACAATAAATTCATCATATTTTCGTATTGTTCTCGGTATCGACACATTTGAGAGCAATAGTAAAAGAAACAGAAGTTCTTTGGGACGATTAGGAATTTGTAAATACTTTTTGACATTTTTTGACACATTATAACAATTTTTGCCACATACTGTTTGACGGTTTTTGGAACTTTCTCAAACTTTTTAATACTTTTTAGATTATTTTACATATTTCAACACTTTTTGACATATTAGGGCACCTTTGAACACATTTTGACAGTTTTTGTCACATACTGTTTGCCTATTTTTGGAACTTTCTGAGATTTTTTAACACTTTTTAGATTTTTAAATTAATTCATCATTATTTTATAGACTCAGAGACCTTAAGACGAACAATTATAGATGCATTTGCAACATTGTATTAAAGTGAGGTTATTACTCCTTAATTCGAGATTCTAAAACTTAGATTTGATAAAGTTTTGGAGTTTTCAGCCCCCATTGTAGTTAGTAACCTAATAGACATACACTGACAACCATTCTGTTCTTATTAATCTCAAACAGAGAAGTATCGATATTTCGACTGTAATTTATAACTTGATTTAGCAAATTTAGTTCAAAAAATGAACATAACTGCGATTTTCTTGATCTTAAAATGTATAAAATGGTTAATAGAACACGATGAAAACATGCAATAAAAATTTGGCAATGGAATAAAAAAGTTAGAGATTTTTGAAAAAAATTTTTATGTTTCATTAAGCGCCATCTCTTGAAAAATAGCAAAATCAACTCATATATAGATTAAAAACTTGGTGCGTTTCGTTATAAACGCAAATCCACCTTAGTTTTTGAAACAAAAAGATTTAATTTAGTCGATCTAAAAACATAAATTACTCGCAATAACTTTCTTTTTGCGTCACCGTCACTCTTTTCACTGTCTACGTGCAGCGAGAAACGTAGCTTTACCAACTTATTTATTAACACATTTTCGTTTTCGTTTTAAATTTTATTTTTATTTTTACTTTTCTATGAATTAAATTGAAAATATTTTCGAAAATTTGCTTCGTTGAGTATATCAATTAATAAATAACAGTTATAAATTTATGAATTTCTAAATTAAAACTGTGATTTAACATTAAATCGTAACCGTTAAGTGCCTTAAAGAGACCGAGAACGTCTTCAACCGTTGAAAGTGGGTCAACAATGTAGAAGAGTTGCTGGGTTAGCGGTGTCTGACCGACACACACACTGCGGTTTCCTTCGGAATGCCTCAATTACCTCACTGTCAAGTTCACTACCGATACGAGTGGTATCTTAAAAGTCTCCCTTAAAAGTTTTTACAAAAAATTTATTTTAAATTTGTTAATATTTAAACGTTTTGTGACATAAGTGAAAGTGTTTTGTTACTTTATTAATGAATTAAATTAATTGGACGAAATGAGTGCTTTAACAGCCCCTTTAGTCGGTTTGGGAGCCGCGGCTGCTTCAAATATGGGAGTTTTCCTTCCAGCTTTAGTCGCAGCTATTGCTTATTTCCAATACGATATGATGGACCCAGAATCAAGACCGATTGATACCGACACGGATTCAATGGAAAGTGTTTATGATTTTATTGTGATTGGGGCGGGATCAGCAGGTAAAATTTATCCATTTTAATTAAAAAATTTAAAAAGAATGTTGTGATTTAGGTGCCGTTGTTGCAAATCGATTAACAGAGCAAGAGAATTGGAACGTTTTGCTTTTAGAAGCTGGAGGAGATGAAACTGAAATTTCAGATGTCCCAATAATGGCAGCTTATTTACAATTATCCCAATTAGATTGGAAATATAAAAGTGAACCTCAAGGAAATGCATGTTTAGGTAAATATAAATCATTACAGTAAAAAAAGTTCTTATCTGGCCTTGAATAACAACTAAACTACAGTTAACACTAGGACTAAAACTAGATTTAGAATTAGAAATATTCTGGCTTAACTATGCGTCTCTTAAGATGGATTGCTAACAACGTGAAAAAGCAACAAATGTATTCTATTTTCATATTTTTCTCGATATTGACGCATCAGTAGTGTATTAATGCTGGTTCTGGAGCGGAAGTTGCTCCCCATAGATAACTTATATAGATGTGACATTTACGTAAAAGCACCAGCGCTCCGAACGGCTTGGCCCATTACTAATAGCGACTATTTCAAACGTGATACCTCTTAAATATCAAATTTTCTAATATTTTTTTTGCGTGGAATTAAATAAAAAAATAAAAGACATTTGTGTATTTTAAGAATCTTTTTATCAAAATCATTATCATAAACATAAAGTCTTATTTTAATATAAAAGAAGAATAACTATAAACAATGTGTAATGGTTAATGATACAGATATATTATAAATTGGTATGTATTCATTGTTAAGACTAATAATATAACACATAATAATACATGAATAAAATAATGTGTAATTGGCAATCCGGGCGTTATTTGCCGGTGACATCAGTGTGGTGTATTCAAATATAACCCCAAATGAATAAAAAAAAAGTATATCAAATGTACTTACCACGAATAAAATTTCGTAAATTTCTTTAAAGTTTCTAAAGTCTTTAAAAAGCACAAAGCCACATCCAAACACCAACAAATTTGACAAGCAACGTAAACAGAAAACAGTAGAAAAACAAATGGACGAAATTACTACTTAAGTCCTAAAATATTTGTACTTTCTAGTTTCCAAGATAAATAGCCCAATACGTCACTTTGAAAGAACACGATCAAACACGATATTAGTAACTGCCAGAGGCATCGAGATATACTATGTTTATATAACTTATATGTATCTCGATGGCCAGAGGTAAGTTGCCCTCCGCGCATGCGCAGTAAGTGACGTCGCGTCGTAGCACGGGAAATTAAAAATTCATGTGGCGCCATCTGGTGGCGTGTAGTGAAACTAAAAAGGGGGTGGTTTACCTGATGAGCGATAGATGGCGCAGCTTAAAATTTACCTGATGATCGATAGATGGTGCAGCTTAAAATTTACTTGATGATGGATAGATGGCACAGCTTAAAATTTACCTGATGATCGATAGATGGCGCTGTCATATTTATAAGTTGGATCGGAAAAAGCAACAAATTTCAAATTTCAATTCATCAAATTTTCATATTTTCGTACTTTTCTCGATATTGACGCATCGAAAAGTAAAAGTGCAAGAGAGCAATATTGTTAAGAATAAAATTTGCAATAACTATTGTGCCATAAGTTTTTTTATAACATACTTCGCTTCCCGAATGTTACCATTGACAACTTAAAAAAAAACAAATTTTCATATTTTCGTATTTTTCTCGATATTGAAGCATCTAAAAGTAAAACTGCAACAGAGCAATATTGCTCAGAATAAAATTTGCCACAACTTTTGTACTAAAAGTTTTTTTTTAAATGCTCCGTTTCCAGAGTACTACCATTGAGTACTTGCAAAAGCAACAAATTCATCAAATTTTCATATTTTCGTATTTTTCTTGATATTGACGCATCTAAAAGTAAAACTGCAAAAGAGCAATATTGCTCAGAATAAAATTTGCTACAACTTTTGTACTAAAAGTTTTTTTTTAAATGCTCCGTTTTCAGAGTACTACCATTGAGTACTTGCAAAAGCAACAAATTCATCAAATTTTCATATTTTCGTATTTTTCTCGATATTGACGCATCTAAAAGTAAAACTGCAAGAGAGCAATATTGCTCAGAATAAAATTTGCTACAACTTTTGTACTAAAAGTTTTTTTTTAAATGCTCCGTTTCCAGAGTACTACCATTGAGTACTTGCAAAAGCAACAAATTCATCAAATTTTCATATTTTCGTATTTTTCTCGATATTGACGCATCTAAAAGTAAAACTGCAAGAGAGCAATATTGCTCAGAATAAAATTTGCTACAACTTTTGTACTAAAAGTTTTTTTTTAAATGCTCCGTTTCCAGAGTACTACCATTGAGTACTTGCAAAAGCAACAAATTCATCAAATTTTCATATTTTCGTATTTTTCTCGATATTGACGCATCTAAAAGTAAAACTGCAAGAGAGCAATATTGCTCAGAATAAAATTTGCTACAACTTTTGTACTAAAAGTTTTTTTTTAAATGCTCCGTTTCCAGAGTACTACCATTGAGTACTTGCAAAAGCAACAAATTCATCAAATTTTCATATTTTCGTATTTTTCTCGATATTGACGCATCTAAAAGTAAAACTGCAAGAGAGCAATATTGCTCAGAATAAAATTTGCTACAACTTTTGTACTAAAAGTTTTTTTTTAAATGCTCCGTTTCCAGAGTACTACCATTGAGTACTTGCAAAAGCAACAAATTCATCAAATTTTCATATTTTCGTATTTTTCTCGATATTGACGCATCTAAAAGTAAAACTGCAAGAGAGCAATATTGCTCAGAATAAAATTTGCTACAACTTTTGTACTAAAAGTTTTTTTTTTAAATGCTCCGTTTCCAGAGTACTACCATTGAGTACTTGCAAAAGCAACAAATTCATCAAATTTTCATATTTTTGTATTTTTCTCGATATTGACACATCTAAGAGTAAAAGTGCAAGAGAGCAATATTGTTAAGAATAAAATTTGCAATAATTATTGTTCCAGAAGCTTTTATATAACATGCTCCGTTTCTCAAGTGTTACCATTAACAAGCTGATAAAGCAAAAATTCATCCAATTTTCATATTTTCGTATTTTTCTCGATATTGACGCATCTAATAGTAAAAGTGCAAGAGAGCAATATTGTTAAGAATAAAATTTGCAATAACTATTGTTCGAAAAGTTCTTTTATAACATGCTCCATTTCAGAAGTGTTACCATTGACAACTTGAAAAAGCAACAAATTCATCAAATTTCTATATTTTCGTATTTTTCTTGATATTGACGCATCTGAGAGCAAAAGTGAAAGAGAGCACGATTACTAAGAATAAAATTTGCAATAACTATTGTTCCAAAAGTTTTTTTATTGCATATTCCGTTTCCTGATTGTTAGCATTATCTAGTGCTAACTAGCGCTACATAATACTGTTACTAGAACTAACACTAGATCTAGAACTAGAAATAATCGGATTTAGCCGTCTTAAGATACGTGTGGGTAAACCCGAATGTTAGAAATACACAACAATCTAGCATTAAATAGCAATTAAAACTAGTTTTACTCTATTAATTATTTGTTATTAATTACTTTTTGTAGCAATGAAAGGAGGAAGATGTAATTGGCCACGCGGAAAAGTAATTGGGGGCTCATCAGTTTTAAACTACATGTTATACGTTAGAGGAAATCGAAAAGATTACGACCATTGGGAATCCCTAGGAAATCCAGGTTGGGGTTACGCGGACGCGCTTTATTATTTCAAAAAATCCGAAGACAACGAAAATCCGTATCTAACAAAAACGCCGTATCACAAAAAAGGGGGTTTTTTAACCGTAACAGAAGCCCCTTATCACACCCCTTTGCTAGCAAGTTTTATTGAAGGCGGAAAAGAGCTAGGATACGAAAATAGAGACTTAAACGGCCAATTTCAAAGCGGTTTTATGATCGCCCAAGGAACGATTAGACGCGGATCGAGATGTTCAACGGGGAAAGCGTTTTTAAGACCGGTTAGATTAAGACAAAACCTTCACGTTGCGATGCATTCTCACGTTACGAAAGTATTAATCGATCCGAGTACTAGAATAGCTTACGGGGTTGAGTTTTATAGGGATGGTAAAATTCACCGAATTCGCGCAAGAAAAGAAGTGATTTTATCGGCGGGATCGGTTAATACCCCTCAATTATTGATGTTGAGCGGCGTGGGTCCTAAAGAAGAATTAATCAAACACAACATACCTTTAATTCAAGATTTGCGGGTCGGATTTAATCTGCAAGATCACGTCGGACTCGGTGGATTAACTTTTCTTATTGATGAACCGATTTCGATTACTTTAGAAAGGATTTACGCAGCATCTCCTCTTTTACAATACGCCGTCATGGGATCGGGTCCTTTAACAATACTCGGCGGAGTTGAAGGTTTGGCGTTCGTTAACACAAAATATGTGAATGCAAGCGATGATTATCCGGATATAGAGTTTCATTTTGTAAGCGGTGCGACCAGTTCGGATGCGGGGGCTCAATTGAGAAAAGCTCACGGATTAAGTGAAGAATTTTATAATAAAGTTTTTGAGCCGATCTCGAATCGAGACGCTTTTAGTTTTATTCCGATGCTGTTGCGTCCAAGAAGTCGGGGAGTTATTAAATTGAGAAGCTCAAATCCGTTTGATTATCCTTTAATTTATCCTAATTATTTCGCTGATGAGCACGATTTGAAAACTTTGATTGATGGAGCAAGAATCGGGGTTGCTTTGGGTTATACGAAAGCTTTTCGAAAACACGGAAGTCGACATCATAAATTTCCGCAATGTAGTCATATTCCGGAGTATACCGATCAATATTTTGAGTGTATGATTCGATTATACACAGTAACAATTTATCATCCGGTAAAAAAATCGAAATAAAAACTATTAAATCCTGAATAAATTATATTTTTAGGTTGGTACAGCAAAAATGGGTCCTTATTGGGATAGAGAAGCCGTTGTCGATCCTCAACTGAGAGTTTATGGTGTTAAAGGCCTCAGGGTGATTGATGGCTCCATAATGCCTACTTTGGTTAGTGCCAACACAAACGCGCCAATTATTATGATTGGGGAGAAAGGGTCCGATTTAATCAAAGAGTTTTGGTTAAAAAATTCGTAATTTAAATCTATTTTAATGTTGTACATAATGTATATTGATTTTTAATTTATTAAATTCTCTTTTTACCTTTTATTTTTTTGCGAGACCTAAAAATACTTTCTTTAAATAAAAAATTAAAATAAATTAAATAAAATGATACCTCAATATCCCCAAAGTTGATATCGAAAAGAATAAGATTATCTCACAAAGAGGAACTAAAATCAACATTTTAAAATAAAATTTTGATTAAGTTTCAAAGATGACACTGACACTGATTAATTTTTATTATTAATTAAGAACCACTTTGATACAATCGTATATACAACAGCATTACGCCTAATGGCTTATTCAGTGTGGTATTGCCGCCTCCGGTAGACCGCAATCTGCACGGGGAGTGGTAATGGTAAGGGTGGCTATGTAGGGGGGTTAAAGCTGTGAGGTTTCGGGGGTGGCTGCGGTTGCAACCTGCGCCTCGTCTGCACACTCGATGTAATTAAAATTGGATTAGAGCACCATTAGTTAGTAGGGCGCTTGTAAGCCGAATGTGGTCGCGATAAACTTGGTACAACAATTATGTTATTGTAGACACACAGATGAACAGTTGGAAATAAGAATGTTAATAAAATCAAATTTAACATTTTAAATTTATCAACTAAATAAATTTTCATAATCTCGAACATAAGGATTAATAATTTGTTTGTTTCATTTTAAGCCAAGGTCACTTGCGGCCGAGGCGCTACAATATACATATATTATCCAATATAGCATCAAATGTTATATGATGTTATCCGTCCGACTAACTTTAAGCCGAGGTCGCTTGCGGCCGAGGCAAAAGTATGTAACAAAGTACACTTTTCGCTTAACGTTAAGCTGAGGTCGCTTGCGGCCGAGACGCTACAATATACAGGGGTGCTTCTGTAAGTCGCGGCATAATTTTAATCACAAATACTAGAGTTAAAATGATGACGATTCGTGTAAAAATGTTTAATTTAAACCCATAAATGCTTAAGATATGGACTTTCAAAGTTAAAAAAATTTTAAACATGAGAAATCGTTTAAGATCACTTTTGAAAGTAAGCAACCACGGGATCAATGCTATACAGGTGTCCACAAAGGTTATTTCCTTAAAACTTTTTAATTTTGTTGTAAATCCTTAAAATTTCCAACTGATTCTAAAAGCCTATTTCATTTTAAAATTATTTTCGTTCTTAGAAATTTTTGATTAGACGCATCGTTTTAGAGTTATTCGCAAAAAGATACAACCTCGATTATGAAATGCTTTCATTAATCGAAACTATAAAAACAAGGTGTAACGGGAGCAGTAAAGCAATGTAAGCCTTTATAGCATTGGTCTTGTGGCTGTATTTTACCAAATTTTAACTTTCTAAGATAAACCATATTGAAAATATTTAGGAAAATGCTTAAAAATTTGTAAGCCCAACCCATAAATCGCTAAGATACAGCCATTTATGGGTTCTGACCAAAAATTTTTGCACGAATCATCATTTTAACTCTCGTATTTGCGATTAAAATTATGCCACAAATTACAGGAACACTGTAACTTCTCCAGTAACCACCAAGCAATAGTGTACACTTTTTGCTGAACTTTAAGGTCGCTTACCGCCGTGGCAGAATCGTGTATCAATGTATACTTTTCGCTGAACTTTAAGCCGACATTGCTTGCGACCGATGCAAAATCTTGTATGTGTTATCCAATATTAATCAATCACCTGTTACGTCTCAGACCCAAGCGACCTCGCCTCTACCAATATACAATTTTATAGTCATGTGTCAATAGTGTACACTTTTCCTCAATTTTAAGCCGAGTGTACTTGTAACAATGTACACTTTTCTCTGAATTTAAAGCCGAGGTCGCTACAATATACAGGATGGAACAAAAGTATGGAATATAGCTAGTAAATACCCCATTTGTGATTTAAATGAAAAATGTTTCAAATAAAAGTTTCCTGGTTAATTATGGAGCATATTCTGGTTACATCTGTTTGTTTGTGTTCTTCATAGTTCTGTTGCTATGGTAACCAACATTTTTATCTTAAACGGGATTCATAGGTTTTTTTGCATATTTTGATAGATCATATTTCATTCTATTCGATTGATATATCACATCATTAGGTTTTATAAGAAAAAAAAACGAGAAAAATTCAATTTTCTGAAAATATTTAAACGTATATTTTTATGGCGCAATAATATAATATAAATGACGCAATTATGGCGAAAAATTAAAAGGAAATTTTGAGGTTGTTCTTGAATAGCCAAGAGTACATTTCATTTGGTGTCGTCATCTGTGGCTGTTTTACACTTTTAGGTATTTACTAACTACAATCCATACTTTTGTTCGACCTGGTATATTACAATATAATTTTTTTAATTTGAACTGCTTTGGAACTGGATATGCGTTACTGAGTCCTTGAACTGATTTAGGATTTGATTAACTTGATTTGGTATTAGTTGTTCTAGCGTTGAGTAAATTTGTGCTTGAGTTGTTTGTGATTTGTATTGAAATTGCATTGCTTTGGTGTTGGATTGACATATTTTCAAGATGTATTACTTCGTGATTAAGTTAAGATAACTTCAATTACTTTGTCCATGTGTTGATTTGAGGTTCTTTAGTTGATTGGCTTCATTTAGTGTTGAATTAACTTATTTCAAGTTTCTATAGGGATAACTTAATTTACGCTTGAAATAGATTAAGTTGTCTTATTTTAAAGTTGCATTAAGAAATATAAGAATTTTATTATAGAATCTTATTAAGCGCTGAATGGCAATTAAAACTAGAACTAACACTAGACCTAGAACTAGAAAGTTTCGGGTTTACCCGTGCGTCTTCAGACAACTCGAAAACGAAAAACTCTAGGTACCAATAACTTTTTCATATTTTCGAATTTTTCTCGACATTGACGCATCTAAAAGTAAAAGTGCAAGAGAGCAATATTGATAAGAATAAAATTTGCAATAATTATTGTTCCAAAAGTTTTTTTATAACAAGCTCCGTTTCCCGAGTGTTATCCTTGGCAACTTGAAAAAGCAACAAATTCATAAAATTTTTATATTTTCGTACTTTTATCGATATTGACGCATCTAAAAGTAAAAGTGCAAAAGTGCAATATTGTTAACAATAAAATTTGCAATAACTATTGTCCCAAAAGTTTTTTTATAACACGCTCCGTTTCCCGAGTGTTACCATAGACAACTTAAAAAAGTAACAAATTCATCAAAATTTTATATTTTCGTATTTTACTCGATATTGACGCATTTAACAGTAAAAGTGCAAGAGAGCAATATTGTTAACTATAAAATTAGCAATAACTATTGTCCCAAAAGTTTTTTTATAACATGCTTCGTTTCCCAAGTGTTACCATTAACAACTTGAAAAAGCAACAAATTCATCAAAATTTTATATTTTCGTATTTTTCTCGATATTGACGCATCTAATAGTAAAAGTGCAAGAGAGCAATATTGTTAAGAATAAAATTTGCAATAACTATTGTTCCAAAAGTTTTTTTATAACATGCTTCGTTCCCGAGTATTACTATTGACAACTTGAAAAAGCAACAAATTTATCAAAATTTCATATTTTCGTATTTTTTGTCCATATTGACGCATCTAATAGTAAAAGTGCAAGAGGGCAATATTGTTAAGAATAAAATTTGCAATAACTATTGCTCCAAACGTTTTTTTATAACAAGCTTCGTTTCCCAAGTGTTACCATTGACAACTTGAAAAAGAAAAAATTCATCCAATTATCATATTTTCGAATTTTTCTCGATATTGACGCATTTAACAGTAAAAGTGCAAGAGAGCAATATTGCTAAGCATAAAATTAGCAATAACTATTATTTCAAACGTTTTTTTATAACACGCTCCCTTTCCCGAGTGTTACCATTGACAACTTGAAAAAGAAAAAAATCATCTAATTATCATATTTTCGTATTTTTCTCGATATTGACGCATCTAGTAGTAAAAGTGCAAGAGAGCAATATTGTTAAGAATAAAATTTGCAACAACTATTGTTCCAAAAGTTTTTTTATAACACGCTGCGTTTCCCGAGTGTTAGCATAGACAACTTGAAAAAGCAATAAATTCATCAAAATTTTATATTTTCGTATTTTTCTCGATATTGACGCATCTAATAGTAAAAGTGCAACAGAGCAATATTATTAAGAATAAAATTTGCAATAACTATTGTTCCAAACGCTCTTTTATAACAAGCTCCGTTTCCTGAGTGTTACCCTTGAAAACTTGAAAAGGCAACAAATTTATCAAATTTTCATATTTTCGTATTTTTTGTCCATATTGACGCATCTAATAGTAAAAGTGCAAGAGGGCAATATTGTTAAGAATAAAATTTGCAATAACTATTGTTGCAAAAGTTTTTTTATAACATGCTCCGTTTCTTGAGTGTTACCGTTAATATTTGAAGACGCATGGCTAAACCTAAATGTTTCTAGATCTAGGTCTAGTCTTAGTTCTACTTTTAGCCTAACAGAAATATACAACAATTTAACGCTGAATAACAATTAAAACTAGAACTAACACTAGACCTAGAACTAGAAAGTTTCGGGTTTAGCCGTGCGTCTTCAGACGCACGGCTAAATGAATAATTATTATTAAGTACTTATCTAATATATTATAATATTTAAATTATAATAACTTTATAAAAATAATTAATGTAAACATAAATATATTTTTATTTATAATCATAAATTAACACGATCTAATTTGACACCACAAGCTTGAGAAATAACATGTTTCGAAGCAGGATAAAAATCCAATAAATGTATCCAATCGTCTCGTTTTAACGCAACCAAAACCGTATAAAGAGTAACTTTATACGTGAAATTGTGTCCCACATTGTACAAAATCCCTTGCTGCATTCCGAACATTTCCCCGACGTGTAACACTTCTTGAATCACCTCGGAGTACATCGTGTCTTCACTTAAAGCGACCACTTCGCCCTCGTCGATAAAATACATGCACCTATCTATGTCCCCGACGTAAGTGACTTTATCGCCGGGGAAAAAAACTAACGTCTTCATCCTCGCGGTCATTTGCCGTGTCAAATCTTTGTGTAAATTTTTCATGATTGGGTGATTGTTTAAGTGGAATCCAAACATTGAGTCTAAAAGTGCTTCTTTTAGATAATAAGGGGCTTCGTCTAATAAAACGGGGAATTGCACCCCTTTGTGATACGCCCATAACAAATTTGAGTAATCAATAACCCTTTCGGTTAAAGGGATCGAAATATTTTCTTTGTGGAGGTATGATTTGATAAAAATCATGAATTGTTCGTAAGAATTTCTCGTGTGATTAACAACGATTAATATTGAGCAACATTCGGTTATAAAAAATAATAAGATTGCTTTTGAGAATATTAAAACGGTCGAAATCCACATCGTCCATGCCCAATTTATTTCGAATTTATCGATTGGAATCGATTTTGATGTTGAAATGCAACTGTTGATTACGTATTGTATGCAAGTTAAGAAATTAAAGAGTCTTTGTGACATATTTGGGTAATATTTGTAATTAAAAAATAATAAAGTTGATCCGATTGTGACCATTGCAATTAAAGTCCATGTTACTAAATACCACATTCTAACGAATAAAACGGTTACGTTTAATTTTTGAGTTAAACTTCTTAATTTTGCCATTGCAATAACAATTCGTGGTAATCGATTTAATCGAAGAATCGGGTACATATATCTTGAGTAAGATGTGTTTTGGAATGCGTACATAAAAACGTCGAGGGGTAAAGTTGTAAAAACGTCTAAAATAAATCCTATTTTCATTTTAATGTATCTTTTGGCGATTGTTGAATGATTCTTTATGATAATTCCGTATTCGTCTTCGTATGCGGTGTGAAACATCAAATAAATTTTGATTAAAAAAATTAAATCGATCGAATAAAGAAGGCAATAAATCAAATATGAGTCGCATAACGTCGTTAAATGATAAAGCTCTATGAAATAGCTACAATAAGAGACGTAGCAGATTACGAATTTCTCCCAAAATTCAATGAATAAGTTTCGATTAAATATTTTCCATTTAAAAAAGGCGGATTTTTCGAAATAACTTGATAAAGACGGTTTGATTATTTGCGTTGAGCTTGTTAATAAATGCAAAGCTTCTCGGACGTGTGAGGATTTTTCGGGGATATAATCGGTGTCGAATTGAGTTAATTTTTTGAAGTGGCGATGTAAATGGTCGAAATTTGCGAGGTGTCTGAATAAAACGGCGCTGCTAAATCGCAAAACATCGACGTGACTTGACGCTATTATACTTAAAGTTCTTCTTCCAACCGGGCAATTATCTAAATTCCCGAAAATGCTTCCCGAACTTAATTGAGTCAATCGATTTCCATCAGCTCCAACGACGTGCACGTTCCCTTTTAATAAAATAAACACGTCATCGTTTACATCGTTCACCCTGTATATGTACCCGCGTTTTAAATACATTTCATGTTCAACTTCTAAGAGTAAGCTTCGAAAAAATCCTTCGTTTGGGGTCGGAAAAATGGTTGATTCGGTTAAAAGGATTCCGTAAATGTTGTAGAGAGCTTCGACTTTGAAGGAGCGTTTGAAGAATTTGAATGATTTGTGGATGCTTTTTCCTTTGGTTCTTTTCCAGCGGTACTCAAAATGGTTTATTAATTCGTTTTTGAGGTGCTTATCGATTTTTCGATACGATAAGAATAAATTTAATCGCTGCATCGCTTCTTGGTACACGCTTAAATCGCGGTTTATTGCCATGCAATTTTCAATTCCTTTCGCTAGCAATAAATAAATTAAAATCATCCCTAAAAATGCACACAAAGAGATATAAATCAATTCGTGAGTTGTACCAATTTGAACCAAATAGTGATTACTGTAGGTTAATGAGCTCGTTGTGATGTAAATCCCCCACCCGATTACATCAGCTATTGAGGTGTTGGTTTTAATTTTTGATTGTAAGCTACTATCTGGGGTGCAATCGATTTTTTTTAACGTTATGCTGCAGGTTTGTTTGACGAAAATCGAGGATAACGTGGTGATTGTAACAAGGACGTAAGGGAGGTATTTGTAGATCATTAATTGTTGGAGGTGGACTTTGGTGTCGAAGAAATTGTTGAGAGTGTAACGGAATCGGTAAATTTGTAGGAATCGATTGTATTGAAATAATTTGTATTCTTGTATCGATGACCCGAACAATAATGAGATGACTTTCGCGAAAGGTAAACTCGCGAATAAATCTAAGGCGAAAGCGTGGCTCCAATAATATTTCGCCGTTTTCATCGGGTGCATCACCTCGAGCCCTTTTTCGTTGTAATAAGAAAAATTGTGCCGCAAAATAATATCGATATAAGCAACTAAATCGCACACGAAAATTTTATAAGAATACAACCGATCCTCTCGTACATGCAAAAGCGGAATCATCAAAATTGTTAAATAAATAAAGACACCCCGAGTAAATTCCCAATAATACACGAATTTCCCGTTGTTTGAGAAGACGATTCTTAAAAGGAACGGTTTAAAAATCGCCGTTTTTGGGGTGAACCCCTCTTTATAAGCGGCGTATTTCTTGGTTCGTTTTTTTAAAAAGTACCCAAAATACTTGTATTCCTTTTTAACCAATTTTTTCTCACCGATTATTTTAGTTATCTTCGGGTAAACCTTAACAACACTCGACCAATACGGATAAGAATTAATCGCAGTCTCTAAATGGTCATAATTCAACTTAAATTGTAACAAAACCGCCTTTAAATTTTGTATCGAAATCGTCACCAAAGAACACGGCGTTTCAGTACGAATCGTCACCAAAGATTTCACGTCCAAACAAGCTTCGAGCGCGTTAAAAGTCTCATTTTGCTCGATAAGTTTGTATTCGCCCCGAAAATTCTCCATGCGACACACCCCTTGGATTAAAATATAAATTTCCGGGACGAATTCCCCAATTTGCACAATCACCTCATTCTCAGGAACCAAATGAACCATCGCAACGTTCGCTATTTCATAAATTACGTTATCCTCGAGGTAATAAAATAACGGGACGTTTTTTAAAACATCCCCCAAATGAATCCCACGCGAAACCACCGCGAGTTCTTTAGGAATCTCCGCGAAAATCTCATCGGAAATCAAAAAATAAATCCCAGTACCTCGATACTGCAAATCGATGTATCTCCAAACGCGTTTTTGTAGAACCGGGTTTAATTTGTAACATTGCATCGTTATTTCCATGTTGTTGGTGTATTCTTGCATCCGGTGCTTATCGATGCGATTCATCGTCACAATCGCCGCTAAATACGCAATGAAGCAGATATTGAAGCATTCGAGGATGTATTGGAACGCGATCAAAACGATTTTTGAGCCGGTTCCTTTCGCGAAAGGAAACCCGGCCACATCTAAATCGCAATAAAACTCGATCACGCCAAACATCGACATAAAAACTTGATGCAACGTCGAATTCGAATCAAATTTTTCGACGTACCCCATAAAATCATCATAATTCATCGAAGACCTCCCCAACATAAAACAAACCGCCGCGAAATAATACCAAAAAATAATCAGATAAATCGAAAATTTCGTTATCGTCAACAAAACCAAAGTGTTCGTTTCGACTTTGATCGTAGTAAAGAGTTGTTCGAGTTTGTACACTTTAACTAAGCGATTCGCCGAGGCTAAGAGGCTATAATTTTGGGTTAACTTCCCCTCGATTAAATAAAAAATAACCTCCCAAGGGATCGCTGCGAAAATATCCAACAAATACGTAAACGACGAAAAATTGTGAATCAAAATATCCGAAACGGTGTTGTAATTGTAATATTTCGTTTTAATCGCGATCGATGATCGCAAATACAAATCGATTATCCAACAAAAACTGATCACCCCGAAACTTATTTCGAAAAATAAACGATCTTCGATGTAATAAACCATAAACCACGGATACGAAATCAACAAATAACTCAATAAAGTTAAAACGATCGCGTTCCAAAGCTTCGTTAAAACCGAATTGGGTCTAAACACAAAAGGAAATTGGGTTTTTATAAAAACCGTGTCGGTTATTACATCTTCATCTTCCGCTTGGGCCAATAAATCCAAGTATTTCGTGCAAAAAACGTTTTCTTCCAATTTCGATAAATACCTCCTATTTAATAAATCCCCCATTTTTCTAACGTTAAATAGCAACGATCTTAAAGTATGTTTTAACCACTTCATCGTCAAAACCCCCACTCTCTCTTCATACTCAACGTTGTTAAATTGAAATTCCGAAATGATCTTAAACGAGCGGGCCGAAACATATCTCAAATTAATAACCGAAATAACCCTCTTCATTTTTTCCGGATACAATAAACATAATTGCACAAAATCCTTTTTATGCAAAATAACCGCATCGCACATATCTCGGCTCATCACCGTACTCGTTGAGGGATAACTTATTATAATACTCGACTCCCCCAAACACGACCCGCTCGATAAAGACATAATCGGGGTTTCCCCATCCTCCTCCGATAAAATATCAACGGTCCCCGAAACGATATAAACCATGCAAGTCTTATATTTATCCCGTCTATAAATAATCTCACCGGGGCAAAAAAATCTTTGCTCAACCCTTTGCGACAACAACCTCAAAAAATAAACCTCCTCATTCCGAAATAAATGGCTATGTTTCAAAGGAACCCAACAAGTATCCAAAAAAATCTCCTTATACATAATCGGGGGCAAAAATTTCCACAAATACAAAGAAGGATAAATCCCGCGAGTTCGTTCCCACAAAATCCCCGCGTAATCCTCCATCAAAACCTCATATTTCTTATGATACCTAGTCCACTCCTTAACAAAATCCTTCTTCCAAATCGCAATCGTTTTCTTCTGCCACATACACGTATTAATATAACAACATTTCGCCCGAATTTTCCTCAAAATACCACAAACGAAATACCCATTAAAAAAGGAAACCATCAAAAACCCAATAAACGCCACCAAAACATTATCCAAAACCCAATCTTTCGTTTGGCTCGTACAACCAACGAACGTCCAAATCGCCGAAGCTACGTATAAAGATTCCGTGTAAATTTCATAATTAGGTTCTTCATTGCAAGATCCATCTTCGTTACAATTATGAATGTAAGCGATCGTTGTTGATAAAACGATTAATAACACCGAAAATGCGACGTACAAAAATAAGTGTAAAAGATACGAATTTCTCCCAACGTAATCTTTAGCTTCAATAAAAAATGAATGCAATCGAACTAATCTTAAAGTGTATCGTAATCGTAAAACGGACGAAATTTTCATTGTTGGTTTCACCATCGTGCTATAAAATGGTCCTAATGGGATCAAACTAATTATTTCGAGGGTTAATATGAAATTTGGGCGTGATTTATAACGATAACCAATTTCTTTCCATTTCACTCGCTTAAAAATTAACATGCTCAAACAATCCAAGGCGTAAATCACATCGCCCGTGTAAAGTACGCTGTTCATTGCTTCTCTTCCGGGTGTCGATTCGATGTAAATCGTTTTATTCGATCCGAAGGCGTATGCTAACTCGACCATCGAGTAAATGTACGTTACATAAATACTGAATAAAATTGCCGCTTTCATTTGGATTTGAAATTGCATCAATAAAATTGATTGCCATCCCGCTAACGTGTTGAATTTTGTGAAATAATCTTCTTCTTCTTCTGGTACCGTTTCAAATGTAACGCTGTAATCGCTTGATTCTATATCGCGGGAATCCGATCGTTTTAATTCGTCGTTATCTAATCTTACTTGTTTCACCATTACTTTGGGGAATCACTTATTTAAATTTTTTTTTTGAGTTTGACAATTTATTTTTTTATTTGACACATCTTAATCGATATCATGATTTTTTTTAATAAATAAACTATCATTTAAAGTAAATAATGAAATATTCCAAATGTTGAGAAGTCGGTTTTTCAATAAATTAAAGAAATGCGAGTAAATCGTAAGCAAAAGATGTCTCGCTATTGTATCGATAATGAAGATAATGCAGCTCCTCTGCTGGAAAATCTATATTCTTCCATGACTAAGCCGAGGTCGCTTGCAGCCGAGGCATTATATTTGATATAAAGTTGGACAACATATATTGTAGTCCCTCCTTGGCTTAAAATTATACTGAAAATCAATATTGTTTCTTCATTGATTCATGTTTGTTGTGTTTATATTCCGCCTTAGAATAACGTAGCGTTATATTATTTTATTGATCAGCTTTCCTCAATTATACAGATGTTTCCGAATGATAAATTTTTGATATGCGGAGACTTCAACTTACCGGAGCTGAGATGATCTCTCAATGTCAATTCCAGTCATTGGGTCGCTTCACGTATTAATAATACTATTAGAATTCTTGATTTTCTTGACACTCTGTTTCTGCACGACCTGATTCAATTCAAACACCACGTTGGTGCCTGTCAGATTACTTTATTTCTGATATAAATAACGTGACTTTAAGCGATTGGTTCGTGAAGATATTGCTCATACTACACTTGAAATCTCCTGTACGGTTACCACGTCGTCTAGTTTCAAATATTATGTCTTTTACAATCACCGCAGGGGTGATTTTGATTCTCTTAATACTCATCTTGCGGCGATTGCATCCATGTGAGATGATGGGAGGTTGTCCATTGTGGTTTTCATTTGGGACTAGGCAGATGATTCAAGAAAAAAGGTCGGGCAAAATTTCTTCTTGATAGAATTACACTCCGAACACTGAGACAAAAATTGCTTCAAATCCAAGGTTCTTTTGGTCATTCGTTAAGTATTGGAAAGGAGGAATGATATTCCCGCTACTGTCACTCACAACGGTGTTGCTGACACCGATGCTTGATCTGTTTCTTCGCTATTTGCCTCCTACTTTCACTCTGCCTTTATGCCTACTCAAACTGGTGTTGTGTCTAACAACCACCTTAATCTTCGATCGAGATTGCGCGCTATGCCTTGAGCATTCGGAGGTTGAGGAGACTTTGAGGAGAATTGATGCATTGACAGGACCAGGAGAGGACGGTATTCCTGCTATCATAATTAGAAGTTGTTGTGAGTCACTTTCTTTTCCTTTAACTGTTATACAGGGTGTTTTAAAACAACGTTTAAATATTTATAGGGGTAGTGCTACAGTAGAAAACAAGTCGAAAAGTGTTAATCAACATGGGCCGAAAATCAACCGTTTTCGCCATACAGGATGTTCAAATTTTTTGGGACGCTAGGTTTTTTCTTTTAAACTGTAACTACTACAGATTTGATACTTGGGAAATCGATACAGTATGAAACTGTCTCTTTTTGAGAGTAGTATGATGTTTCCATTGCTTCCAGTTAGTATAAGTTATTCCATTACAAAACGTTATGCCATTAGTTACCAAAATTTGGCCATTACAAGGAGTAGGCTTTGCCTTACGTACAATCTGCTAAGATACATTAATTTGACGTTTTGTTGAAATTACGAAATAACCAAACTCCAATAATTAGATTTTGCGAAACCTGAAGTGAAATCGTTTGCAATGGTCTTGTATTCAAATGCTGAAATGAGCGATATGGTGTTTATGTACGGCCATGCCAATGGAAATATGAAACATTTCCCAATCGCCGGCTAACAAGGTTGGTAGACAATTCGTGAAAACTACGGGCTATTTGAAAGAGTTCGAGCTTCCTTTGAACGTAGAATAAGAAACTGTATTGATGTTGCTGGTCGACATTTTGAACATCTTCAGTAAAAAGCTTCGTTTTGATTAGTATTAGTATTACGTTGTGTCAATTCAATTTTTCTAATAATTTATTTTTTAAAATGTTTTCTTTTTCGGAAACCTTAAGGAGTACAATTCCTTTTTTCGAATTAATGTTGTTTAGAATTAAGCCATCTAATTGTTAAATAAAATTTTTGATTTTTCTGAAAAATAGTGGTATTTATTTTCACTTCCGGTCTAACCGGAAGCAATGGAATCATCATACTATTCGCAAAAAGAGACAGTATTATACTGTATCGATTTGCCAAGTATCAAATCTGTAGTAGTTATAGTTTAAAAGAAAAAACGTAGAGTCCCAAAAAATTTGAACATTCTGTATCTCGAAATCGGTTGATTTTCAGACCCATGTTGATTAACACTTTCGACTTGTTTTCGACTGTAGTACTACCCCTACAAATATTTAAACGTTGTTCTAAAACAGCCTGTATATAACCGGTCGATTCAATTTGGAGTTTTTCCACGTGTTTGGAAGGAGGTTCTATCTTTAAATCCGGAAATCGTCGGTATGGTATCTAATTATAGACCTATTTCTTTATTGCCATTATTTATTAAAATACTTGAAAAGCTTATTTATAAGACTTATTTTTATTGTGAATTATTGTTGGTCGAGGCAACTTGTTGGAATACACCCACTATAATTTAAACTATATGGTTGATTCCTTTCAAGTTGACTCCATTGATACTGATTTTAGTAAGGCTTTCGATCGAGTCGATCATACTCTGCTTCTTTCAAAACTTCGTATGTTTGATATTGACAAATATCTTATTTGTCTCCTATACACGTGCAAGGACTCTGAAGGTAAATATCAATCATTTAGAACCTCTTCTATTTAATATTTATATCAATGATATTTTTCAATAATTAAACACTCTCATTGCTTGATGTATGCTGATGATTTAAAATTTTTTGCTCGAGGCTACAGCGCGACATTGATGCGCTACGTATTTATTGCAGCTCAAATTTCTTGACACTGAACCCTGAAAAAGGTAATGTTATTTCTTTTACAAGGAAGGCAGACACGATCAGATTCGATTATAGACTGGGGGATGATACCATACCTAAAGAGATTCTGGCGTCACTTTTGATGTCAAACTAACGTTTGAAGACCACGTTGATGGAGCTGTTGCTAAGGCTTGGCTTCGTTATGAGAGTCACGCATAAGAAGATTGTATTTTGCGTATGTGCATAGCGTTTTAAGTTTCTGCAGCACCCCTTTGTAACACTCTGTATATTACCAGAATTGTTTTAAAAGCAACATCAGCCACTGCTTCCTTCAATTTCTTATCGCTCCATCAGCGTCGTTCATGTGGAGATGCTTTAACATTCCATAAAATAATTAATGGTAGTATTGATTCTCCTAGCCTTCTTGAGGTCGTTAATTTTCGTGTTCCTCCCCAGCGTCTTCGGCTCGATTATTTATTTTACATGCCTACTCCTCGTACGAATGTCTTCCAAAGCTCTCCCATGTTGAGAACGAGGCGCACGTGCGACCATTTACATCATAGCGCGGGGGTTGATGTTTTTTACGACTCGCTATGCGTGTTTAAGCATTTGATGATTGCGTCGTGTAAAGTTGACCAAGATAATTAGTTTATATACGTAAATTCTACATATCTTGATGTATTTTTCTTTTTCTTTGTTGTTGTTATTTTTGAGGCAATGTGTTAACTAAACAAATACAATATTAGACAATAGTGATGGAACGGATAGTGATTTTGCGAAAAGCCGGATACCCTTCAAAAAAATTGGAAAAAATTGTCGATCATTTCAAAAATTTATTTCTCAAGAACTAAAAGTGATTTTTCAAAACGGCTTTTGCATTAAAAAGAGGACACTTTAATTAATAATTGGTGAAATTTCCACAAGAATCCTTCAAGAAATGAATTTTATAGCGAATTTTGAAAGTTATCGAAGAAAATTGCAACATCGAAAACTTTATCAAAACTTCAAATATTGTCTTTTCAAAAACTAAAAGCTATTTTTCAAAATGGATTGGTTCATTGGAAAGAGGACACTTTTATTAATACTTTGGGAAATTTTCATACTCATATTCGAAGAACTAGATTTTATACGAATTTTTAAACTTAATCGGTGAAAATTGCAAAATTTGAAAAAATTGTCGATTATTTCAAAAATTTATTTCTCAAAAACTAAAAGGTATTTTTCAAAATGGGTTGGTTCATTGGAAAGAAGACACTTTTATTAACACTTTGGGAAATTTTTACACCCATATTCCAAGAACTGGATTTTATACGAATTTTTAAACTTAATTGGCGAAAATTGAAAAATTTCGAAAAAATTGTCGATCATTCCAAAATTTATTTCTCAAAAACTAAAAGGTATTTTTCAAAATAGGTTGGTTCATTGGAAAGAAGACACTTTTATTAACACTCTGGGAAATTTTCATACTCATATTCCAAGAACTGAATTTTATACGAATTTTTAAAACTTAATCGGCGAAAATTGCAAAATTCGAAAAAATTGTCGATCATTTCNAAAAACTGTTATGTTGTTGATAAATAAAGTTGTATTCAATGAAAAAAGTCCTAATTGGGTTGAACTTGATGATTATCTGCACTGTCTAACACTTAAAAGAGATACTAATTCCTGTGAATGGTGGAATACTAAGTAATAGGTTCTTAACATCCGACCAAAGCCTAATAGACAACATATATTGTAACACCTCGACCGAAAGCGATTTTGGCTTAAAGTTAAATTACGTTATTGTTCCTTGATTAAAACGAGGTTGCTTGCAGCTGAGGCATTATGTGTACTACATTTTTTGTTATTTCCTATAGACATCTAAAAGTAAAAAAAAATTACTCAAATTCATAACTCACAAATAACATTATTTACCATTACTATAGATTAATTCTATTTAAAGTTTTTTTAATTAATAAATTTATGGTGGATGCGCCGGAAATCTGTTAGATAATATTGAGGACGAGGTAGTTCTAAATGGTGGTGGGTTGGGACGTTAACGGGGACCGCATGCGGTTAACACCGGCAGCCGCAAACGCGTACGGGTCATTACCTACATACTAGACGGTACATTGCACGCTATAAACGGGTAAATTAACCGTGTCCTGTTCCTCATTATCCTCCGGACCTCGAAATTACGAAACCAGTCCCAATTATAATAGACATTCACGTCTTTAATTAAGACATTACTCATTAAATTTCAAATCTAAAATGAAATTTATTTGGTTATCGTTTGGGATAAATTAGGAGTGTTTATTATTTGAGGAGTCTCAACTATATCCTATTTTTCAAATTTTATTAATACTTCAAAAAAATTATTAAAATTGATAAAAAAATTTGTCCGACTAGATTTGTTACGTTTTAAGTACAATCTATAACTAATTAATCATCCTATTTATTTATTTATTCAGGAATTACTGAATTAGAATTAGAACTTTGAGGAATGGGATTTGCTGGAGCAGCTCTTGGCACTCGAATATGAACAACTCTTCGAGCGACTGAAGGATGAATCAAATCAGCTTTACTCCTCCATTCTCTCCTTTTAATTTCTTCCCTTCGTCGTTTACGATCGATAAAACTAATAACGCAACTGGTTGGTATCCATAAAAGAGCTGTTACAAGCACGACAGTTCCTACTATATTATCTCTTAAAAATAATAGGACTTTATTGATGTTTATATCTTCGATTATATCCCAGAAACGTTCGACTACATCTTGCACGGTTTTTTCGCAATTTCCCTAATAATTAATTACGTGATTAATAAGAATTAATTTTATTAAGGTTATACTTTGTTGCAAAATCCTTGTATGCAAGGAGTTCCATCGGGGAGAACATCTAAAGGCTCAACAGGAAAACACGTTTCATTCATATTCGTTCGACAACATCTCCTACATGCATTTTCAACTATCAAAAATAAATAAAATTAATAAATTCATTAATTAATTATTATTTAACCTACTTATATCGCACATACAACTTTGTAAACCTTGAGTTTCGCAATATGGTGTGCATTTTCCGTTTCTACATTTCCCTTTTTCTTGGCAATCGGTTCCGTTGGGCATTGGAGGGCTTTTGGGGCACTCTGCTTGTTTTCCGGTACATCTAGATTCTTGTTCGCAAGTTTGATATTGAGCATCCCTACATTTAATCCCGGCTTGCATGTATTGGCAGTTTTGGCAACACGGCGAGTTCTTATCGCTACAAACGGCGCCTTGATTTCTCCTCAATTTACAATCCTTATCGCAACAAGCGTCGTTATCTTCCGTTCCTAATAATCCCGCGTCGCACTCTTCATCACCCTCAACACGCAAATTCCCACAAAAACTTTCTTCCGGCTCGGAAAAACACCGCCCCGATTTCGCTTGCAACACTTTTCGAATCGAACGCAAACTGCAGGGAGAAAATCGTTTGTTGTTGACGTCATATCCGCTTACGCTGTAGGTGTACATTAAATAAGAACCACCTTGTGAGGCGCTCGGTGAACATTCCGGAATATCCGGATCGTGCTCCGACCCCCAATTATGTCCGAATTCATGGGCTGTTACTAAATCGGCTTCACGGGTTATAACACGTTGACCGTAATGATTCCGACTTGAGCTTAAACCAGAATTTAAATAAAGGGTGTATCCATTTTTGAAGTATTCTAAAAAAAATTTTAAAAAGAATTAAAAGATTTGTCAAAATCTTTTTAGGTTACGAAGAGTCTTTAATGCACAATACTCTTTAGATGTGTGCATTATAGGCACCATACAAATGCAAACAAATTACGCAACAATCGCTGTTTTTGCAAAAATTGTGTAGTGTAGGTGTTGATTGATGCGTTGCAGAAATTCAAAATTGTTTCAAATTAGTTGCCCAACGCCATTCGTTGCGCAACCAATTGCATTGTGTATCAATTTCAGATGTGTTAGTAGAAGGTGGTGATATTGCTTCTCTCAATAGTGTGTCTTGTTTTTGTACCGGGAATTTCATATAACTCGCAATATATGAATACAATAACCATAGTTACGAAACTACTGTGCACTTGAACTATCCCACATAATATGCAACATAGCTTAATAAATAAACCCGAATGATGATAGTTCTAGTATTAGTTTTACTTTTCGTTCAATAAGAATATACCACAATCTAACGCTGAATAACAATTAAAACTGGAACTAACACTAGACCTAGATCTAGAAACATTCGGATTTAGCCACACGTCTCTCAAGGCGGCTAAACCTGAATCATTCTAGTTGTAGGTCTTGTGTTAGCTCTAGTGATAGTGCAAAACTAGAACTAACACTATTATGCTGGATGGAATGTTCAAATCATTCCTAAAATTGCTCAGCTGCTTATGACATTAATGAAGTTGAGGCTCAATCTCCCACATGAAGATTTGAGTATTAGATTCAGTTGCAGTACAGCTACAGTGACCAATATTATAATGACGTGGATCTATGCTCTATTGTGGAGGAGAGCAAAGCTTTGGATCAGATGGTGCCTGAAGATTTGATATTGGCAAATAAAGGTTTCTTAATAAGGACCTTCTTACCACTTGCTTCCACCGTTTTTAACAACACCACAGTTTACAGAATCTCAAGTATACGAAACACAGCAAATTGCAAAAGTCAGGATTCATGTAGAACAGGCCATCAGGAAGATAAAGTGTTACAATATTCTGCTATCGTTTTATATACAAACTTCTAATATTCTTAATTTCTAATTCTTAAATTTCTTAATTAGCAAGTTTCAACAATATATCCAAATGAAAAGTCTTATTTTATCAAACAAAACACGAAAACACTAATTGAAAAATTGTATATAGCGATTTACCGTTAGCAACGAAATTGTTTAGAGTTGGTATAAACTCCGTCAAGGCTTAGGTTGACTATAAAAACTAGAATTAGCACAACCTAGAACTAGAAACATTCGAAGTTAGCCGCACGTCTCAGAACTAGAAAGTATCGGGTTTAGCCGTGCGTCTGAGAAATGTTTCCAGTTCTAGATCTAGTGCTAGTGTAGTCTAGTTTTATGTGTTATTCAGCGCTAGATTGTTGTATATTTTTATTGTAATTTTTATTTTTATTGTTGTAATGTCAAATTATATTGACATGTTGCATTTTATGTGGGACAAAGTATACACTTAGTCACGAAAGACTTCGTACAGGCCAGAAATTCGTATTTATAAACAAAATAAACGTTTATTTATAACTGTTATAAAACATTTTACAAATTTCCAACAATTAATAATGATTAAAAATTAAAATATATGCTTCTAGTAAGAATTAAAAAAGATAACAAAGATGAATTACTTTTTTTGATCACACGAAAGTGTTCGTACAATGAGTTATTAACAAAATAACTGCAGAAAAATCCTATTACATAAACAACTAGTATCGCTCGATGCTCCTTGCTGTTCTAAAACAGTTTTTAAACGGTTTTGCATCGACGATACTAAGTTTCTAGAAACATCGGTCTTAATATTCTCCTATTCTTTCAAAATCGCTTCTTTATCCTATTTTTTCGCACCCTTTTTTCAATTTCGTCCCATAAATATTCTATGGGATTTTGGTTAGGCGACTGAGGTAGGTGAATTTAGATTCATCACTAAATAAAACGGTGTTCCAAAATTCCATAGGTTTGTCAATATGTTCTTGAGCAAATTCCACGCGTTTCTTCTGGTTTATTGGATTGATAAAGCTCTTTCCGCATTTGTCTTTCATTAAAACCTTGCTTTCGTAACAGCCAACGAATACATTCTGGATGGATATCCTTTATTGTTTCTTTCGACATCTCTGTCGCCAATATTGGACCACTCAAAATAGGTTCTTTTAATACTTTACGAATATTTTCGCACTGAACATGTCTTAACACATCAGAATTTACGATATACTAAAGTTAAACGAAGTAAGAATGTACGAACATTTTCATGACATCAGAAAACGATATTTTTTTACTTATTTATTTATTTAAATAGAATATGCTTTATTTTATCCATAAAACGTTATTAACTGTTTTACATTATACATTTCGATAACGAAATGTATCGCAAAATTTATAAATAATCGGTTATTTTGTTATATTTTTTCACCTGCACGAAGAATTTTGTGGCTAAGTGTAGGTACGCCCTGGTTTCTATGGAAATATATTTTAGTATATTGTATCTTAAGCGGCCTTCACACGATCAATATTGAATTGTCATTGTAATTCCCTCAGACTATCAATATTTATTGACGATCTACTTAGTTTTGCGCTGGCAGTCAAAGATGTCATACTGTCAAAAAGCTATTTTAGCTTAACAATAAAACGCTGGAAGTAAAAGAAAATATGGGCTAGGGAATGGCTTTTAAAGAGAGAGACACATTTTCTCACATGAATTTGTTGAATGAGGTTCGCGTAACTACTCCAAAAGATTAAGGATTGTCAATCTCTCCCTCAGACTGTCAATATTTATTGTCAATATATCAAATGTTTTGGTTTTTGTCAAACCATGCCATCAATATTGGCAATCTGTCAATCTTTCTACTCTAAACGTTCAATAATATTGTCAATACTCAGATATTGACAATACACAGTGCTTCCCGAAAGTAATGGATAAATTCGTTAAAACAATTAAAAACGGTTTATAGAAAAATCACTGAGATGAATCTAAGGATTTAAATTTTTTACAATTTTTTGGTATAGATTTTAAATTTTTCCGCCATTTTTAAACTAGTTATGACGTCATCGCATTTTATTACGGAATATGAAAGGGGATTTTTTTCTGAATTTGGTACAGCCAAAATTAATATTAGTTGCATAAGAAAATTTTCGAGAAAAATTGCTTTAAAGTTTCATGATTTTCCATTCATTTGAGTTAGAAAAATAGCAGTAGCCATGCGTAACCATAGCAACCAGTTGTTTTAGATATTTTATGATTAATTTTTGATATCTGACACAGTTGTTTTTGATAACACTTGGTTGCCATGGTTACGCATAGCTACTGCTATTTTGCTATCTTAAATGAATGGAAAATCATGAAACTTTAACATAATTTTTCTTGAAAATTTTCTTATGCAACTAATATTAATTAGTTGTTTTATTGTTTATTAACCAGTTGTTTTAGATATTTTATGATTAATTTTTGATATCTGAAACAGTTGGTTGTCATGGTTACGCATAGCTACTGCTATTTTGCTATCTTAAATGAATGGAAAATCATGAAACTTTAACATAATGTTTCTCGAAAATTTTCTTATACGGAATATGAAAGGGGATTTTTTTCTGAATTTGGTACAGGCAAAATTAATATTAGTTGCATAACAAAATTTTCGAGAAAAATTGCTTTAAAGTTTCATGATTTTCCATTCATTTGAGTTAGAAAAATAGCAGTAGCCATGCGTAACCATGGCAACCAGTTGTTTTAGATATTTTATGATTAATTTTTGATATCTAACACAGTTGTTTTTGATAACACTTGGTTGCCATGGTTACGCATAGCTACTGCTATTTTGCTATCTTAATTGAATGGAAAATTATGAAACTTTAACATAATTTTTCTCGAAAATTTTCTTATGCAACTAATATTAATTAATTGTTTTATTGTTTATTAAACAGTTGTTTTAGATATAATTAATTTTCGTTATCTGAAACAGTTGGTTGCCATGGTTACGCATAGCTATTGCTATTTTGCTATCTTAAATGAATGGAAAATCATGAAACTCAAAAATCAAAAATTTTCTTATGCAACTAATATTAATTAGTTGTTTTATTGTTTATTAAACAGTTGTTTTAGATATTTTATGTTTAATTTTCGTTATCTGAAACAGTTGGTTGCCATGGTTACGCATAGCTACTGCTATTTTGCTATCTTAAATGAAAGGAAAATCATGAAACTTTAACATAACGTTTCTCGAAAATTTTCTTATGCAACTAATATTAATTAGTTGTTTTATTGTTTATTAACCAGTTATTTTAGATATTTTATGATTAATTTTCGTTATCTGAAACAGTTGGTTGCCATGGTTACGCATAGCTACTGCTATTTTGCTATCTTAAATGAATGGAACTTTAACATAATTTTTCTCGAAAATTTTCTTATGTAACCAATATTAATATTGACTGTCCTAGATTTAGAAAAAAGTCCTCTTTCATATTCTGTAATAGAAATGGGGTATTGCTATTTGAAAAAAATATCGATGACGTCGTTACTCGTTTAAAAATGGTGGAAAAAATTTAAAATCTATACCAAACAATTGCAAAAAATTTAAATCTTTAGACCCGTTTCAGCGATTTTTCCATAAACTGTTCTGAATTGTTTTAACGAATTTATCCGTTACTTTTCGAAAACCTGTATATTGATCGTGTGAATGCCGCTTTAAGTGAAATTCACTGTATAAGTGGTGTTACCATGACCAATAATTCATCAAAAGTAGTGAGATCCATTCGTAAATAATTTTTATAGTGTAATGGTGAACTCAATTTAAGTTTTTTGAGAAGATTTGGGTGACCTTTTCTTTAACCACTCTCGTCCATACTCTGTTTCCTTTTTCTTTTTCTAACACCATCCATTTCGACGCAACAGCAATTATTATAGCTAAAGAGGCTGCTTCCTCAAACATCATGTTTCCATGCTTACACAACACAATCAATTGAAGTTTGTTGTAATAAATAATTGTGCAACGTCAGTTTGCGGATTTTGTTTGCAGATATATGGGGCCTATGAAACAGTTAATTAGTACCTGGGGTACAAATACCACCGACGGAGTTCCGTCGAGGTGAACCAACATAAGCAAGCCCCAAAATGCCACCTTCGAATTTTAAATCGGTGAATAAATGAGCCAAGCAGAAGTCTTTATGAGTATACTCCCTGCTAAAAACCTGTATGTGTAAAAAATACCTTTGTTAACACACCTCCACCAAAGAAAATCGTATTAAAGAAATAACAAACATGTTAAGACAAAAAACAGACAAAAAAAGCTTCAAGAAAGATAAGTATAAAAACAAAAATCTAATAATAACCGGGGGTGCAAATTCCTCCATGCGAATACAGTCTCGGTGAAGCGATATAGGCCAATCCAAGCACAGATTGGGTTTTAAACGTTTGGTGCGTAAATAGATGCGCTAAACAAAATCGTTTGATGTCAGGTTGTCTTGAAAATACCTTTAAAAAGATTACATTTATAAATCAACACTTAAAAGAATCAAACTAACCTAAAAAAATCAAAAATCATGCTCAAATATGCAAAAAAATACTAATTAAATGTTAATTCAATTCCAGATTAATTAATAAATACCTCTAATAAATTTCTAACATCCCATTTATCTCGATTCATATTATAATGGGCATCGCCATTACGAATATGTGTCGGTTCATTATGAACGACGATTTTCTTAATAACAAACCCCATCCCTTTAAAACCATCGATTTCATGTCGATCTTGCCATATTGTATCATTATATATTTTATGAACTCGATCTATTAAACTAATCAAATAATTAATAGTAGTTTTTGTATTACTCCCACCCATTTCTTGATAAAACCGATAATCAGCAACCAACAACAAAGGGCACCTAGTTTTTGTTGGAGTATATTCATATTGATCAATTTGTCGTTTTTCTCGATGCACCTCAGATAACCAAGGACTTTCTTCGTCATCATCACTTTCTAATTCTAATCCTTCCTTAATGTAACCACAAGTTTTTGGTGCAAACTCATTTAAATTGTCTAATTCCCAACTTAATTTAATATCCGATTGTTTATAAGTAATCATAGTTCGATTATCAGAAATGGGTAAATGTCTCCAAGAAGGTTCAATATGATAAATTTCCTCTGGTAAATGAATAAATCCGGTCATAACACCATCATTGTCCATGTGCAAGCTTACATGGGACGTTGTCTCCCCAAAAACTCGTCCATCATAAAACGAATTATGGTCAATGTGGATGGAGGATTCTTTTCCATCACCGTCAACTGAATATGCCTTAAATTTCGAATGTAACACATCTTTCTTAGGGGTTAAAATTAAACGAAAATCTTTCCCCAAAGTTTGAAAATTGATTTCTTTAATTTTATTGAATTTATGGTTCGATTCTTTTAAACCTCTTTTAACTATTTTATGGTTTAGGTCATCAGCATGGAGTGTTTCGAAATATTTCAAGTTTTTATAAATAGAAGCTAAAATAAAAGTTATTATTTTGTAATTGTAACATATTTAACTTACCGTTTATACAAAAAGCGAAATTAATAAGTAAAATTAAGAGATATTTGAGAATGAAGTTCATTTTTAAAAATTTATTAAGTACATATTTGACATTTGACAGTTGTCAGGTGATCAATACATTTGAAGTTGTTGCAATTAATTTGTTTATTTGATTAAATACGAAATGATTTTGTTATATAATTTAATATTAAATCGGAATTATTTTTATTGGTTTTATAATAAAGATTAGTTTATTATTTGATTAACTTAATTTTCTTTATGCGTTGTAATCTAACTTCACACTAAACCGAAACTAAATTTAAGTAAATCATTTAAAACAATATTTATTTATTAATTAGAATTATTTTCTTATTATTAATCTAAATAATTAAGTATCATTATATCTACATTTACATTTACATGATGATCAATACATTTGAAGTGATTTGAAGTTGTTGCAATTAATTTTTTTATTTGATTAAATACGAAATGATTTTATTATAAAATTTAATATTAAATCGTAATTATTTTTATTGGTATTATAATAAAGATTAATTTATTATTTGATTAACTTAATTTTCTTTGTGCATTATAATCTAACTTCACTCTAAACCGAAATAAATTTAAGTAAATCATTTAAAACAATATTTATTTATTAATCACATTTATTTCCTTATTATTAATCTAAATAATTAAGTAAATTTAAAAGTGAATTTAAATAAACTTTTATGATAATGACGTGTGATAACTGTGACATATCAACATTGTAACTCACTTCACTCGTAATACAACCGGCGAAACTGAAGGTGAAACATGGCAAGTTTTTTACAAAAAAACATGAATTTTTGCCATATTTTATTATCTTACTTAGCCCTAATTAGTTTAATCTCATCATCTGAAGTGCCAAGGCCCCGCGGAGTGTCATTATCAAGAGCCTCTCTTTATAATCCAGGCGAAGATTTTACATGTTTCGATGGTAGCTTAACAATTCCATTTACACATATAAACGATGATTATTGTGATTGTTTGGATGGAAGTGATGAACCAGGTACAGCGGCTTGCCCCAACGGTGTTTTTCACTGTACAAACGCCGGTCATAAATCCCTAAATATCGCATCATCACGTGTTAATGACGGTGTTTGCGATTGTTGTGATGGTTCTGATGAATATTCCAATGAAAAAACGGGTTGTGTTAATAATTGCAATGAATTGGGGCGAAGCGCCAGAGAGGAGGCTCAAAAAAAGGCGGATTTATTAAAAGCTGGTAAACAGTTAAGAGCTGATTTAATACAAAAAGGTGTTCAATTAAGACAAGAAAAGAAAGAACAATTAACCGAGTTGGAAAAAAATAGAGGTGAAGCTGAAAAGATTAAAGAAGAAAAGGAGTTGTTAAAAAAACAAATTGAGGAGTTAGAAAATGCTGCTTTGGCTAAATACAGAGAAATTGAAGAGGAAGAAAGAAAAAGAAAAGAGGAGGAAGAAGCGGAAAAAAATAAAAAAGAAGCAACAGAGAAATTTATCTTATTAGATTCAAATGGTGATGGTAAAATTGATATCTCTGAGTTACAAACAAGGAAGACATTTGATCAAGATCGTAATGGTGAGGTCTCTGAGGAAGAAGCAAAATATTTTTTGAACTCAAAAGAAGAAGTTGAATTTGATGAATTTTTAGCTGATTCTTGGACCAAAATTAAACCATACATGTTGATTGAAGATGGCTTTTATAAACCACCAGAAGAAACTGACAGAGAAGAAACTCAAACTCAAGCAGGTAATGAAGACATAGATGATATTGAAACAAACAATGAAACCGAAGATTCTGATGATCTTGATCACGAAGAACCCGAAGAAGAGGAAGATGAAGAAGAAGAACCCATTGAAAAAGCTCCAGAACCAACCCCCACCGTTCAATATGATGAGGACACTCAAAAACTCATTGACCAAGCTAATCACGCCCGTAAAGAATTTGGTGATGCAGAAAAAGAAGTTAATCATATTGAAAGACAAGTTAAAGATATTCAAGATTATTTAGAGAAAGATTTTGGCCCTGAAGAAGAATTTGCAACTTTAGATGGTCAATGTTTCGAATACACCGATTATGAATACATTTATAAGTTATGCCCCTTTGATAGTGCAGTACAAAAACCAAAATCAAGCTCATCAGAGACTAGGTTAGGTGTTTGGTCGAAATGGACAGGTCCTGAAGATGATCACTACTCAATGATGCTATACGATAGGGGCCAATCTTGTTGGAATGGACCCCAAAGGTCAACACAAGTTCGTTTAAGTTGCGGCGGTGAAAATAAGGTTACTGCCGTGTCTGAGCCGAATAGGTGCGAATATTTATTTGATTTTATGACGCCGGCCGCGTGTAAAGATGTTCCTTCCGAATCGCACGATGATATACATGATGAACTTTAATGTGCTGTTTTGAATACGAATAGAAAAATTCATTGATACTGTACTTTTTTTTTGTATAAGAAGTGTAGGTTATTTTTCTTCTTTTTTTTTGAGGTTAACACCATTTTTCCTACGCGATATATCATGAATAAATAAATATTTATACTTTAAGTGTTAAAGTTGATTTAAACCTTTCTTATCCTTTAATTTATTTTTTAGGACCAGTATATTCATCTTCAAGTAAAGTTGGAGGAATTCAAGAATCGTGTGGCTTAAAAATCGTCGCACGTCTCTCAAAACAGCTAAATTCGAATGGATTCTAGTTGTAGGTTTTGTGTTAGTTCTAGTGCAAAACTAGAACTAGAAACATTTGGGTTTAGCCGTCTTAACCCGGCGTCTGTGTGGTGGGGTATCATACCCCACGAGTGTTAAAATCTTCGCGCTTTTTTACTTTAATGTCTTACCATTTTAGACGCCACAGTACCTTTCCACAACTATATGAGCAGTCGCCTGCAACAGTTAGATTAGTGTACATTGATACGATCGGTAAACGCAAAAGATTCCAAATCGTCCTGGGTATACGATCCCCACCACACAGGTAAGTAAAAAATTCGCTTCAAATTTATTTATAGCAAGAGCCCATCTTTGCTATGTACAGCTCTGTTCAGATTTAATGCGAATCGTCCGCTGTTAGCTCCGACATGACGTTGGTACTGGAAGAAGACGGAGACATCTTTTGTTTCTATTTAATTCGATTTCTGAGACTAAAGGAAGTTACCCTCTTCCTTAATCCAGGTAAAACCGTCCCAGTTTTAAGTGGGCCGAAGAATGGATCACCCTTTTTTTAAATGTGTCAATTTTATTTTATTTTAAATCTTTTTTGATATTTTTAAGAACAACAAACGCACGATTTTTTATATATTCCTCTAATAAATAATTTTAGAGTATTTCTATAAATAAAACGTCAGATCAAAATCGCAGTAATATAATTAATATAATAAAGCTTTATGAAACTCTCCTTCAAATTTATATAGAATTATTCAATATCAAAATTACGTGCATTCAAATTTGTCCGTTTTCTTAAATACAATACGCCTCGTGTTCCTGGTCAACGGGAGTCAGGTTTGACTACGAGGCGAGCAATTATTGCACTTTATCAAGAAGGAATAGATAAACGGGAAATTGATGAACGTGTAGACTTATCAGTAAGATTTGAAGAAAATGGGAAAGTTGGCCTTACAACATATATATCAGGCCGAAGACTTATTCTTAATAATGGTCAACGAAGGGGAATTGCTGAATACGTCACCGCCAATCCATTTACAACGTCCACAATTATCAAGGATTTAATTCGATTGAATACATTCGAGTGCTGGAGGATGTTTTGATACCAACAGTAAGAACCTTGTATCCAGAAGGGATCATCACGACAATTCGCCCGTGCATTCTTCAAGAATTGTTCATGATTACCCTTAAAATTCACTAAAGAATCAACCCTTGAAGTTTGTTGCAGTCATTCAGATACACCCTGTATACATATAACTTACTATCAATATATAATTTTCATTTCTAATGAGGTTCGACTTATCGTTCCACTGTATTACCAAAGTAATACAGTAATTATTAGTAATTATTTTCATTTACTACAGGAATTGTGTTAAGTAATTGGATGCTTATACTTATTTATTTTCTTAATTTTTCTTTGTGATTCAGTCATCTTGGCCATAAATCACATCACCCCGCTTGCCTGTTCGGAACTTTTACAACACTACAGAGCAGGTAAAACCTGGATTGAATGCCTCGTGAACGTAGGTCGTTTCTAGTACAATTTTATGCCTCTACGAGCGGCTCTTTTCGCATTAAATCTGAACAGAACTGTACATGGATATTAGCAGTGATGGGCGCTGGGTAGGTATTTATAAAATGGGTATTTACTCCGGCCCAAGGTAAATACCCAAACAGTATATATAAAAGTGATACAACTAAAAATATAACAGATTCGGACAAAAATGTAGAGGAACATGATGAAATGGGCGTTGAAGACGAGGAATTGTCAACGATCGAAGATAATCAGATAACCACTGCTCATTCTTCATTCTTGACGATGATCCGCCCAGTTCCACTTGAGCTTTGCCACAATGTTGACCGCACCATTTACGCCAATTCTTCTTCATAGGTCTTCATTTCGTATGTGGTCCCTCAGGGTTACACCTAGCATCGACCTCTCCATCTTTCTTTGCGTTACTTTGAGCCTCCTGGTAATGGCCACTGTTAATGTTAAAGTTTCGGAATCGTATGTCATAACCAAAGGAGGAACCACGCATTGATTGAAAGTCTTTCTTTTCAAATATACAGGAATATCGCTTATGAAGATGTCTCTAAGTTTCCTGTAGGCTGTCCATGCGAGTATCATCCTTCTGTTTAGTTCGCTTGTTTGATTATTATCTCTCGATACACGAACCTCATGGCCATGATATATGGCTGCGATGCGAACCAACTGAGATGAGTACTTTAAGAAGAATAGTGGAAAAGAGAAGAAGAGATAGAGTTAGGAACAAAATTGTAAGAAAATTTTGTGGATTCGGATATGTCATGAGATTTGCTAGGGGAAAAATAAAAAAATTTAATGAATACTTCCAAAGAATGGAAGAAACCTGGCTGATTAAGACAGCAAGAGACCAAAGATTAGTTAGAAAGAGATCCCGGGAGACCAGGAAATTGGATTTCTAGCTCTAATGAAACATCATGAATGATGCGTAAAAAACAGGTTACCTGAATAAAAGAAGAAGAATAATAAGATCTTAAACGAACTACATACTTAATTTTCAAAAACCGTAATTATAGCGTGAAGGAATGTTAGGATAGGTCAGTTTTGCTTTGAACCCCTAATTATAGCATGAAGGAATTTCGATTTTCCTTTTAACCCTAATTATACCGTGAAAAACCGCAATTAAAGGGCGAAGAAATGTTAGGATAGGTCAGTTTTGTTTTGAAACCCTAATTATAGCATGAAGGAATGTCGATTTTCCTTTGAACCCTAATTATACCGTGAAGAAACTCCAATTATAGCGTGAAGGAATGTTAGGATAGGTTAGTTTTGTTTTGAAACCCTAATTATAGCGTGAAGGAATGTCGGCTTTCTTTTGAACCCATATTATAGCGTGAAGGAATGTTATGATAGGTCAGTTTTGTTTTGGTACCCTAATTATAGCATGAAGGAATGTCGATTTTCCTTTGAACCCTAATTATACCGTGAAAAACCGCAATTAAAGGGCGAAGAAATGTTAGGATAGATCAGTTTTGTTTTGAAACCCTAATTATAGCATGAAGGAATATCGATTTTCCTTTGAACCCTAATTATACCGTGAAAAACCGCAATTAAAGGGTGAGGAAATATTAGGATAGGTCAGTTTTGTTTTGAAACCCTAATTATAGTATGAAGGAATGTCGGTTTTCTTTTGAACCCTAATTATATCGTGAAGAAACTCCAATTATAGCGTGAAGGAATGTTAGGATAGGTTAGTTTTGTTTTGGAACCCTAATTATAGCATGAAGGAATGTCGATTTTCTTTTGAATCTTAATTATACTCTTTAAATAATAACTCTTTTACTTTCTGATAGATAGCTGATGCAGACAACGAACTTTGGACACATGTACTTTCTATGGACCCTTTGCATAGAGAAGCTCTTGCATCAAAGCACCTGAGTCCACACTGAATCAGGTGTTAGAACATGTAAACTTTATGACTGTGTTAGAATGTGAGAGTCGAATACTGGTCTTTGTTGTACTATAGCAGAGCAAGATGGATCTCACAAGATACTGTTTCATCACGTACTTTTGAATTATGGCAAGAAATCTTAATTTAAAAAAGAAAGTATACAAAAATGCAAAATATATGGCTGATAACAATGTACTAGTATATTTTGACAAGTAATTACTTGGTTTGGGAAATATCTGCTTTCGATAACTTTGTCTAGATTTAATTTTACTTCTGCAGAAGAAGTGAATCTTATCGAGTAGCAGTTTTAGAGCACAATATGGTAGAATGGAGTTGGCAGAATTTTGGATTTTAATAAAATATCCTCTTTTAACTGCGATGGACCTGATGGACATTCCGGTTTAGCCTTCTTAAGAGACGCACGGCTAAGCCCGAATGTTTCTGGTTCTAGGTCTGGTGTCAGTTCTACTTCTCTTTCAATAAAAATATACTACAATCTAACGCTGAATAACATTTAGAACACTAGAACTAGAAACATTCGGGTTTAGCCCCACGTCTCTCAAGACGGCTAAACCCGATACTTTCTAGTTCTAGGTCTAGTGTTAGTTCTAGTTTTACTGCAATAAAAAAATTCAACATAGTGATATCTTATGCTAACTAGCGCTACCTACCACTGTCACTAGTCCTAACATTAGACCTAGAACTAGATATATTCAGGTTTAGCCGTCTTAAGAGACGCCGTTTGAAATCAAACCAATTAAATATTAGAAGAAATTAAATATTAGCAAATCTACTGTTTAAACAAGCATAATACTTTTATATTAAGAATAACCCGATAACTCCAAATGAACAATTTTTGTTAACTATGTGGTTGTATGCTACTGGAAGTTTTTATATTTCTGTGCGCAATTTTGTGAATATACATAAGACTGCAGCTTGATTAATTATAAAGCGTACAACTAAAGCTATATGTCAGTTGAGAGATTAGTACATATATATGCCAAGAAATGAATAGGAAAAAATGGAAACAAGGTTGAAGTTTTTCCAAATTGCCCGTTTTCTAAAAGTCTTAGGTGCTATAGATGGTACACATATTCGTCAATATCCAGGTGAGTTAATAATAAGATAACATTCAGTAATGTTTATTCGAATTGTTGTAGGTGGAGAAAATGCTGAAATTTTTAGAAATTGATGTACAATTAATAATTTGCGAAATTGTGGTATGATGGCCTGGTTCATCACACGATGCAAATGTTTTTGATAATTCAAGAATAAAATCTAGATTTGTATCTGATTAAATGGGAGACAATGTTTTATTAGTGCATACCCACAATGCCGATATTTAATGAACAACAGATGAAAACTGAAAGCAGATATCAAAAATCTGATATAACAACAAGAAATGTTGAGAGGATATTTGGAATTTGGAAGAGGAGATTCTATATTATCTTCAGGAATTCGTTGTAATCTGCATTTAGCTCAACAAATTGTAGTAGCGACAGCTATCCTTCACAACATTGCCTCATATAGAGATGAAATACCTAACCAAGACGAAGATTACGTGTTAAGATTAAAATGAGTGTTTCCAACAATATTTATATTGCAAATTTTTATATCCAATTGGTGGGCCTCTTCTTCATTCACAATTCCATTTTGGATTATTTGCAACTCTTTTTCTTTAATTTCCCTCTCTAATTTGGCATTTTGCATTTAGATCTACATCAATTCTAGCTTAAAATCAGCCACAGAGGAAAATTTCTTTGCAACAGTTTCATTCCTATCTTCGCCTTTTTTGTTTAGTACCTCCAAGTGTAGTTGGTGTGGTGTTGGAGTGTGATGATGGTGTCCAAGGTATATTTTCTTTTTCCTCTTTACAGAGCCTATTTTTACGTGCCTAGATATATCAAAAGGTCCACATTCCACTAAAATTGTAAGTAATTCAAATAATATTATTCAATAATGATGAAAAATACCAAATAATACATATTTAAGTTATTATAATTTAGGAAATATATAAAAAAGACTTCAAAGCTTATTTTTCATTAGATTTATTAGAAATATAACCTATACTTAAATTATACATTATTAAATAATATTAATTTAGTGAGTTTTTGGCGAACAGGAATTATTCTTTAAAACATTTAGTAAATTAATGTTTGGGAAGAAAAATAATGAATGCTTATCACAATTATTTTCTTTAGAGCATTTAATAACGTTAAATTTGACATTTGGAACTATTCATCCAATTCCTAATTGTGGCAGGATGGGGTAAAGTAAATAATTTTCCAACAAATGCATAAGCCTTTGGAGAACAATAAAACAAAGTTTTAGCAAAATCTTTGATGCTGTCATTATAACGCACACCAGAGCTTTTAACTTTGTTACTCTTACGCTCATGTAATAGTATTTGTAATGGAAACCCACTAAATTGCTCTTCCAACAAGGTTACTACATCACGAGAAGCTGGGATACGCTTTTTAATTTCTTGAAGTAAATTCTTCAAACTGTTGATTCGTAAATCCCGACGTTTTAGTTGTTGCTGCAAGATCTTAATTTTTTGTCTCAATTTTATATTAGTTGGTGACTGAATAATACACTGAATACCCACATCACATTGCATTGAATTCTGAAAAATATTTTATAATTTAGATAATAAAGTCTTCTATAATAGATAATAAAGTTTTACCTGTCCAGATATTTCAGATAAGTCTGGTATAGTACTTGTACTTGGCATGTTCTCAATATCTTCAGCCTATAAAGATTAAAACAACACTAATTTATATTTTAATTTTCAACATATTTTTAATATAAATGGTATTTACCTTTTCCTCTTTCTCAATTACTCTAGACAATAAACGTCTTTTGCATGGAGTAGGTTTTTGAAGGTGATTTGGATCTTTAAACACTGAAGGAAATGCATCTTCTTTTAGCAATCTTTTGCTAGCACCTGGTCGTATTTGGTAATCTGTAGCAAGAAAATGATTACTACATAGAAAACTATACTTTGTTGGCTTAAAATTTTTCCTGCGTACTTCCTTTATCCATTTTTTTAAAACTTCAGGCTTATTTAATGGAAATCTGCAACATTTATACATATATTATAATATCACCACAAACCTGAATCTTGTAACTTACCGATGAAATTGTAAACCACTTCCTGTTGACTGTCTATTTGTACATCCGAATGCTGAACAAGAATTTACCATCTTTATAGATTTAGGTAATACAATATTTAAAAAGTTTATAAAAAAATGTATTTAATGCAATCCAGCCCCAGGGATCTTATTGTTAGATAGGTTAGATAGGGAACTGATTGTATGTCGAAATCCCACCGTAAGATGGCATTAGCGTCTATACTGAAATAATTTAATTAAACTAACAATTTTATTATTAATAGTGGGAATAATGAGAGACAGCAATAACAATTATTACCAGTATCATTCTTCTAATTTAAAAAGTATAGATTCCAATTCGTGTTATATTTTTAAATTTGTCGCTAACTTCAATTTTTAATAAGTTGAAGTTTGTTCAGAATGACAGATGAAAACGTCATTTTGAAGTAATTTTTTGGTAAGAGTATAATAAAGTAATAATGGTATGATTAAATAATTAGATTATAATTGACATTATAACTTTGTTTCAGCTAACGTTATAATAGATAGGAAGCTCGTCAGATACAATCTCACATGTCATATGATACAGTGATATTCAAATGTGGCGGAATTATTTGACAGGTGTAATTGCCATAGGTAATTGCATCTGAGGAATTCCCAACCAGTCGAAACGTTAATTGGAGCCACTATGTAACTACTTTCCAAACAGTTATTCTGTGGTTGGAGTTTTTATATATAAATCCAATCCACCTGTATTCTAGTGGTTCGGTTCTTAGCTGAATAATTCCAAAATATCCCCAACAGATGGCGCCACATACGTTCAATTTTTAGTACGAAGTTTTTGTTTAGAAAGTTGCATTTTTACAAAGCTATTTTCTATGGGCATACTTGCAAAATTCCAGGACTAAAATGCTGTTGAATATCACCAGCAAGGCCCAAAAAACTAAAACCATTTTAAAATTTGTTTGAATAGAAATAAATAACCTATAATTAAATTTTGAAATCATTACCAACCTTTAAAAAAAAATTATAACCTAACCTAATTTAACCTCAAATATTAAGATAACCTTAATAATTTAATCGTTCAAATACCGAAAAATCAAAATGAATCGTTTGTCAAGTAGAGTAAGTATAATTTTCTATTAATTTCCTTTAAAAATAATATTTTTTTTAAGCACAAAATAAGATCGTTGCTTCTTGTCACTGCGGGAGGTTTTGGTTTTTATGGGGCGATGGATTATGTGAAAAACAAGGAATCGTTTTATCAACGTCTAATACCTATAATTCATGTCCTTGAACCGGAAACGGCTCATAAATTAGCCGTTTTCGCTGGAAAATATAGATTATATCCAAAAAGTAGCTTTTCCGATCCAGATTCTTTGGTACAGAAACACAAATATGTCATTCAAATGCTTAAAATGTTTTATTAAATTTATAGAAAGTGAAATTATTTGGTAAAGATTTTCCAAACCCAATTGGAATAGCGGCTGGTTTTGATAAACATGGTGAAGCAATTTTGGGTTTACAAGATTTAGGGTTTGGATTTGTCGAAATTGGCTCTGTAACTTTATTTCCTCAAGCTGGGAATGAAAAACCTCGGGTTTTTAGACTAAAAAAAGATGAGGCTGTTATTAATAGATATGGATTTAATAGTGATGGTTCACAGGTTGTTTTTCAAAGACTTGAATCTTTAAAATCAAATCATAAACTTGATTCGATTTTGGGTATTAATTTAGGCAAAAATAAAGATTCTCAAAATGCAATACACGATTATGTTGAAGGAATAGAAAAATTTGGTCCAATAGCTGATTATTTAGTTATTAATATAAGCAGGTAATTTTTAAATCTTTATTCTTTTTGTTGTATTAAAAATGTTATTTTTAGTCCAAATACACCAGGTTTACGTGACATGCAAATTAAATCAAATTTAATCGCATTATTATCCGAGGTGGTTAAAGCAAGAAATAATTTACCATTTAAAAATAAACCATCACTTTTATTAAAATTAGCCCCGGATTTAACTAAAGATGAACAAATTGATATAGCTGATGTGGTCAAATTGGAAAAATGTAAAGTTGATGGGTTAATAATTTGTAATACGACGATTGATCGACCGGATTATTTAAAAAGTGAGGAAAAATCCGAAATTGGCGGTTTAAGTGGAAAACCTTTGAAAGATATCTCAACACAAATGATTTCAAACATGTTCATATTAACCGGAGGAATGCCGATTATTGGTGTTGGAGGGATTTCTTCAGGACAGGATGCTTATGAAAAAATTAAGGCTGGCGCGAGAATCGTTCAGATTTATACCGCTTTAGTTTACGAAGGGCCTATAATTGTTGATAAAATTAAAAGGGAATTGAGTGCATTATTGGAAAAGGATGGTTATAAATGTGTTGATGAAGCTGTTGGAAAAGAAGTTCTATAAGAAGTTTTTTCGAAAGTATTATTTATTATTCTTTTTCTTTATTTTGTATTAAAGTGCCTTTATTAAAGTATTTTCTATTTTGCATTTGAAATTTTTATTTATTAGCGCCCTCTATGTATCAATTATCAAAATGATATAGAAATTTTTAGATTATAACTTTTAGAAAAAAAGAAAACGTCTTAATTCGATGTTAAACATAATAATGTATTGATTAATGTGTTATTATAGTAAGAAAGATATTTAAAATATTTGGTATAAAAATTTTTATTATAAAATTGTTGTCAAATTGTGCTGCCATCTAACATTGAATCATTAAAGTAAAGAGAAACCATTTTGAATTTGTCAAGTTAATTCATCTGTCAATTATAATTAAGTTTATAACTTTTTGAAGTGATTTTAAAGATTTTTGAAACGTTTAATGTGAATAGGAAGTGTTATTATAGCTTACAATGGTACGTATTGTAGTATTTAGTTAGTATTTAATGATATTTTTCTTTTTTAAACATGAAAAATATGCGATATATTTTCAGGTAAAATTCCATTTCCAATTAGCGGATTTGTCCGAAAATTACCCCACTGATACTTCCACTTCATATATTTCGAATATTTGGGAAAATAAAACGATATTAAATGTAAAAATTAATTTGACAATTACCATGGAGCGCCATCTCTTGACAATTTCTAGAACCTCAGAAGGAAGTACATATACGAAATATGCTGAAAATTATTTAATAATTACGTTATATTGCGAAGAATGTGTTTTAGATATGACGATTAAAAGTAAGATGTGAAATTCTTACCATGATTTTTAATTCTTATAAAATTCGGTGTCATTTTTAGTTGGAGAATCAATTTGTGAAGTTGGTTGCCTTAAATCGAATTTAAAAATTTTCAAAATTTTCTACTTTTAAATTGTTTATACTCAATTTTTTAATTTGGAGGAGGGTTTTCAAATTGAAGATTTTTGAAACGTTTAATGTGAATAGGAAGTGTTATTATAGCTTATAACGGTACGTATTGTAGTATTTAGTTAGTATTTAATGATATTTTTCTTTTTTAAACATTATGAAAAATATGCGATATATTTTCAGGTAAAATTCCATTTCCACTTGGTGAATTTGTTCGAATATTACCCCATTAATACTTCCACTTCATATATTTCGAATATTTGGGAAAATAAAACAATATGAAATGTAAAAATATAATTTGACAATTACCATAGAGCGCCATCTCTTGACAATTTCTTGAACCTCAGAAGCAAGTACATAAATATACGAAATATGCTGAAAATTATTTAATAATTACGTTATATTGTGAAGAAAGTGTCATACATATGAAGATTAAAAGTAAGATCTGAAATTCTTATCATGATTTTTAATTCTTATCAAATTCGATGTCATTTTTAGTTGGAGAATTAATTTGTGAAGTTGGTTGCCTATAATCGAATTTAAAAGTTTTCAAAATTTTCTACTTTTAAATTGTTTATACTCTATTTTTTAATTCTTAGGATAGTAATATCTTATGCTAACTAGCGCTATGTACCACTGCAATTAGAACTAACACTAGACAGAGAACTAGAAACATTCGGATTTAGCCGCACGTCTTTCAAGACGGCTAAACTCGAATGATTCTAGTTCTAGGTCTTGTGTTACTTCTAGTGATAGTGCTAATGTAAAACTAGAACACTAGACCGAGAACTAGAAACAATCGGGTTTAGCCGCACGTCTCTTAAGACGGCTAAACCCGAATGATTCTAGTTCTAGGTCTTGTGTTAGTTTTAATGATAGTGTTACTTTCTAGTTCTAGTTTTAGTTCAATAAAAATATGCAACATAGTGAATTAAAAAATAGAGTATAGTTAAGTTTTAGAATTATAATATATATAATGTTTATTTTAAGAACTTATTTTATTTTTGTTTCAGATAAAATGGTTTAAAATTTCACCTAAACATTTCTCGATTGATTACTTTGATAAATAATTACGAATCCAATCTAACTGTTCGGAGTGAACAATATTGAGGTATACCTATAAAAAATTAATATCTCATGAATTAAGAGGTTAAATTTGATGGAGATTTGCACGGAGATTATGTTGAAGATTCTCAACGTTGGTGCAGTTTATCGATCTTTCTAACGTAAACTGTCTGGTAAATCCCGCACGATTCAATTATCCGGGGATTCCGTGTCAGTGTCGTCAATGTCACACGATTCTCGTCCCCGTTATCCTCGACGTGGAGCTTCCGCGTTGTGAAATGTAACGATGAGGAAAATCGTGGGGGGTTTGCCGCTAATTTGCAGGCGCGCATTATTAAGAAGTCGCCCCCGGACGGTCGTAATTAAGGTGTCGTATCCGCGGGAAATAAATTCCGGGACGGCGAGATGCCGGGAAAATGCAAATGCAACTTTTAATTACGGCAGCCCGTGTTCGGACGGGGCGTCGCGGCGCCCGCATTAATCTTGCCTTACCTTAAATATTATTTATTGCCCCCCTCTAGGAGGGTGGTTGCAAACAACTAGTGGGAGGCTTCCCCCGATATTTGATGTCGGATTGCGACTCCGTGTGAATGCGCGCCTTCCCCATTATCATTTAATACCCGATCCCTCGTTTTACAAAGACTATTTGTCATTTCAGAAATATTTTCGTCTTTTCCCTATTTGTTTTTATTTTTATTTTAGTTTCGAAAGGGGTGTTTATTAATTTAATCCTTTGGATCATTTTGTTGATGAAGGGGCTTAAATAAATTAACTTTCCCGAATATTTCGCTTTTCGTATTTAGCAGCTGGTGTCGAGTATAAATATGCAAAAATGGGTAACACACTGCTTGTTAATTAATAATTATTGACGCTTCCTATGTTTTTGCATATAATTGAACGAATTTATTCGCAAAACTGTTTTTATATTGTTTAAACGTTCATTTTAAAGGTTATATATCTGGCTGATTTCGATTTAAATGAATTTGATTTAAAAATTAATTATTAATTCTGTTTTCAGCATGATTTCAATCAAATTTCTCAATTTCATTTTGAAGCTATAAAATTGTTCTTCCAATTATTCCTTCTTTCGTGACCGTCATCTCGTCCACGAAAAATTTCAATCCTGATTTAAATAAAAATGAGAAGAATCTCGTAAACATGAAAGTTTTGTCTGGGTCTGGACATTTTCATGCAAAACGGTTGTCTTTCAAAACGAGAAGCTTGGCGGAGGTGGCGCGTAAAATAAAGAAGCGACGTCCCGGCGTCTGTCCGAATCAAAGCGAAAAGTAAGTAACACGTTACTCGCCGCCTCCTATTTCTCGGAGCCACCGGAACTATAACGTTCGTGAAGTTAATATTTGGCGCGAGCAAACGTTTCTTTCCGGTTTTTGGAGCCTTAAACCGTAGCGAAGCCGACGAAGCCCCGCTACTGCTGCCTCATTTCCATGCTGTCTACTCGGTTTACGCTGTTGGTAATTTCGTGGGCCCCTCGTGTGCATATTCCTTCCAACTATGGAAAAGACCCGTACATCCGGTACCTATATTCTGGTTAAAGAGACATTTACCCGGTTCGTTTTATTATTGTAATTTAGGTGTAGTAATTGTGTGCGGGTTAAAAAAATGCTTTTTGTAAGAAGTTATTTTTTTTGCAATGAACATTCTGCACTCTAAAGTATAAACACATACTTTATTCAATCTCCGGGGCTCTACTAATAGCTTCCTCCATTTGTGGAATTAACTGTAAATGTTTAAAGTCAACTGCACGTAGGAGGAAGTAACGAGTGTGATTATTTATTTTTTATCTGGTGGGCGCTGGTTAACAACAAAATCTTGGTTTTACGTTTCCATAAACTTTATTATTAATTACACTTAAACTATACATATAAATTGCGATTAGTTGTGGCGAGAGTTATATAGGGAGCCTTGCTCCGCGTAAATTGAAGGGGTACTGTTTCGGTGTGTGTTAAATCGAAGACTGAATAACTGATACGAGTTGAGCTCGCAGGCTCCTTCTTTATTTTAGGTCATAACTAAAAACCCTTACCTAAACACCGAAATACCCCAACGCATTCCCACACTTAACTCCACCCAATAAATAATGCGATAAAAGACTCTAATATTGCGACTCGAGACACTTCAAATCTAGACTAAACAAATGAGGCGATACAAATAAATCCAATATAAATGAACTAATATAATATAAACCTATCAAATCTAATATAAATTAACCAATATAATATAAAATCTAACATACTCCCCGCCTTGAAAGAACTACCTTTCAACAAATAAAAACACAAATTAACAATAATGACTCAACATCAAAATGTATGAAAAAAAATCGAAAAATTAAATTTACACTACTGAGTGATTAATCGCGCACACACAATTCACGCAATCACAAGCAATCACATTAATGAAACCCAAGACTGCTATTCCATTGGTAGTGGACACAGTCTGACCGTGGCCCTTTTGACGATCCCATTTTGTGTGCGTAGCGTGGCCACTCGTGCGACTCCATCCTTACCGCAATACAATTCTATAATTCGGCCAGTAAGCCACTTTAAGACAGGCAAATTATCTTCCTTTATTAACGCCAATTGGCCCACCTTTAGGTTAGCGTCACCCGTTGACCACTTGTGGCGACTCTGCAGCTCAGACAAATATTCTTTGGACCACCTGATCCAAAAATGTTGTTGAATCTGCTGGACGCGATGGAATTGCGATAAGCGGTTTTCATTGTTGTGACTCAAACCTGGATCTGGTGGGAAAGTAAGTTTCCCACCAATTAGAAAATGTGCCGGGGCTGATGGAGTCGTATCGTTGGGATCGGTGGATAATGTGGTTAATGGCCGGGAATCAAGGATGGCCTCAATCTGAACAAGTGATGTATAAAAATTTTCGTACGTAAACGAGGCATTGCTGGTAACCCGACGTGAATGAAATTTTACTGACTTAACACCGCCGTCCCATAATCCACCAAAGAATGGCGAGTTAGGGGGAATAAACGACCTACTAATAGAAGCGTTTTCAATCAGTGTTTTGAGTTCGCTAGAGTTATCAATCAAGAACTGACTTAACTCCTGTAATTCGCGGTTACCACCCACGAACTTTGTTCCGCTATCAGAGAACATTCGATTCGGTTTCCCGCGCCTAGCTGAACGTCGCCGAAGAGCAGCAATAAAACACTCTTTACTAATTGTAAGTTCGGTTGGATTGATTAAACAGACACGGTAAATTTTTTGTATATCCGCGGTAGCTACGTGCGCGTATTTCCTAAACCGTTTCAAGGCACTGAACAAGTCAGGCTGTAATATAGGTCCCACTATCTGACAATTATTAAGCGAATATCCCATTGACGTGGGACATGATGTATCGAAAACGACCCTTGTGATGGCACTATTTTCATTTAACACCCCGTGTGATATGTAATAACCCTCGCGTGTATCAACAATCTTTCTTAATTGACCCAACTCCAAATACTCTCGCATAAATGTATGACATTGCTCACCGAATTCACGATTTTGTGTGCATTTCCGCTCGATACCCATCAAACTATTTTCCGCGGTTTTATACGATTCGCCCAATCGATCTAAACTTTCCTTTGGCGGTATCGAAACAATGAATCGTCCGTCTTCTGCACGTTTAGTGGTTTTGTTAAAATGATTTTCGCAAAATATTTCATTTTTCGATGAGTGAACTAACCCTTCAATCTCCTCGATTTCCCAAAACCGCGCCAACTGCTTATTTATTACGGAATTGTCATCCTTACAAATTAAATTACACCGCACCGAATGTGCCGCGCTCGCTTGTATCGGCCCCGAAACGATCCACCCCAAACGGGTGTTTTGCATGATAGGCCCTTTTGCAAGTTTGATTTGCCCAACGCATAACAAATTCCAAAAATAATCAGCCCCGACCAGCATATCTATCTTATCGGGTTTATTGAACAATGGATCCGCCAAGCGAATGTGTGTAGGTATTTTTAAAGTGTTTGCGTTTATTTCAAAATTGGGTAAATCATTCGCGATTGTTGCTATAACCAAGCAATTAACCTTAAGTGAAAAATCCGTGCAGTGTGAATGTATTCGCAATGAACAAGAACTCGTTATTGTTGACTGTGTTTGATTTATTGTTGCTACATTAACGTTTGTTGCTGTTCTAGACAATCTTAACCGCTTGCAAGCTTCTACCGAAAGAAAACTACTTTGACTGCCCGGATCCAAGAGTGCGCGTAATGAATGTTTTTTGTTATGTCTATCGAATGCGTGAACAGTTACGGTGGAGAGTAAGATGTTTGAATGATTTGCATGCTGTGCGAAATTTAGACTGTGTGCTTGGGTGGATGTCGTTGGTTGTGGTGGTGAATCTGAGCGATCGTGCGTCAAATGAAGTAAGGTATGATGACGAGAATTGCACCGTTTACAAGAGCTCGAACGGCATTGTTTAACAAAATGTCCCGACCGAAGACAATTCATACACACCTTTAATTGTTTGACCCGGTCTATACGGCCCTGAACCGTAAGTTTAGTGAAATTTGAACATTCCTGTATGTAATGTTCCCCATTGCAGTTTACACAACGCTTAACACCCGAATTAGCAACCAAAAACGTTTTTGATTTCGGTTTTGATTTATCGATTATCCGCTTACCCGAACCGTTTTCCAAAGTTTCCAATAAATCAGCGCGTTCTTTCAAAAACCCTAACAAATTTTCTAAATTCGCTTTGTTTAAACCGGACTTTTTCCTTTCCCACTCCCGATTGGAATCAGCGTCCAATTTCGACACATATGNCATTATTTCCAAGTATTGTAGGATGCATTGATGGCACCCACATAAAGATACAATCTCCAGGTATATTGACATAATTCAATAAAAAAGAACCTTAACTAAATAAATAAATAATATATTCTAGGAGGAGAAGATGGTGAGATATTCAGAAACAGGAAAGGCTATTTCTCTATAAATGTCCAAGTTGTGGGAGATTCTGACCTTAAGGTGCAAGATATTGTAGCACGATGGCCAGGATCAACACATGACATGACTATTTATTCAAATAGTAGAATACGTGCTAGGCTAGAAGGTGGAGAATTTAGAAATGGAATTATTCTAGGTAAATTGTAAAATGACATTCCTTGAACCATTAACATAATTACCATGTTATAGGTGATAGTGGTTATGGTGTAGGTAAATATCTGCTAACACCATTACAAAATCCAGAAACTGCAGCAGAAAAATTGTACAATAAGGCCCATATCACAACACGAAACTCTGTTGAACGCTTGTTTGGTGTATGGAAAAGGCGATTTCCCATATTAGCATATGGCATTAGGTTAAAATTAGCCACTGCTTACGCTGTAATTGTAGCATCAGCAGTACTACATAATATAAGTTTTTCGACAATGTTTTTGTAACTGGAAACTATTGATAATAGTACTTCCTTTTCGCGGCAACTATAATTAAGAGAACGCATTCTCTTTTTCTTTTCCACGTCCATTCTTATTCGGAGTTGTAAAAAGTACAAATTTCGCACACTAACTTTGAAATGTCAAAACCAATTATTAAAAAAAGATTATCGGTAATACAGTTTCCCATTTTCACCGATTTAGTGCGTTGTTGCCGAGTTTATTTTTGCTTTACTAAACTTTCTTAAATATATTGCGGTGCAACGGATTACATTTAAAGCTTGGCTTAAAAATTAAAGGACGCTTAGTTAAGCAAAGCTTAACTCAAAAACGGTGCAAACGGGCATGAGTGATTAATCGCGCACGCACAATTCACGCAATCACAAGCAATCAAATTAATGAAATCCAAGATTGCCATTCCATTGGCAGTGGACACAATCTGACCGTGGCCCTTTTGACGATCCCATTTTGTGTGCGTGACCACTCGTGCGACTCCATCCTTATCGCAGTGCAATTCTATAATTCGGCCTGTAAGCCACTTTAAGACAGGCAAATTATCTTCCTTCATTGACACCAATCGGCCCAACCTTAAGTTAGCGTCACCCGTAGAAAAGTTGTAGTACCTCTGCAGCTCAGACAAATATGCTTTGGACCACCTGGTCCAAAAATGTTGTTGACTCTGCTGGGCGCGATGGAATTGCGATAAGCGGGTTTCATTGTTGTGACTCAAACCTGGATCTGGTGGGAAAGTAAGTTTCCCACCAATTAGAAAATGTGCCGGGGTTGATGGAGTCGTATCGTTTCGATCGGTGGATAATGGGGTTAATGGCCGGGAATTAAGGATGGCCTCAATCTGAACAAGTAATGTATAAAAATTTTCGTACGTAAACGAGGCATTGCCGGTAACCCGACGTAAATGGAATTTTACTGACTTAACACCGCCTTCCCATAATCCACCAAAGTGTGGCGAGTTAGGGGGAATAAACAACCAACCAATAAAAGCGTTTGCAATCAGTGTTTTGAGTTCGCTAGAGTTATCAATCAAGAACTGACTTAGCTCCTGTAATTCGCGATTACCACCCACGAACTTAGTTCCGCTATCAGAGAACTTTCGATTCGGTTTCCCGCGTCTAGCTGAAAGTCGCCAAAGAGCGGCAATAAAACACTCTTTACTAAGTTCGGTTGGATTGATTAAACAGGCACGGTACATTTTAGGTATCTCCGCGGTAGCTACGTGCGCGTATTCCCGAAACCGTTTCAAGGCACTGAACAAGTCAGGCTGTAATATGGGTCCCACCATCTGACAATTATTAAGCGAATATCTCATTGACGTGGGACATGATGCATCGAAAACGATCCTTGTGATGGCACTATTTTCATTTAACACCCCGTGGTGTGTTATGTAACAACCCTCGCGCGTATCAACAATCTTTCTCATTTGACCAAACTCCAAATACCCTCGCATAAATGCATGATATTGCTCACCGAATTCACGATTTTGTTTGCATTTCCGCTCGATACCCATTAAACGATTTTCCGCGGTTTTATACGATTCGCCCAACCAATCTAAACCTTTCTTTAGCGGTGTCGAAACAATGAATCGTCCGTCTTCTGCACGTTTAGTGGTTTTATTAAAATGATTTTCGCAAAATGTTTCATTTTTCGATGAGTGAACTAACCCTTCAATCTCCTCGATTTCCCAAAACCGCGCCAACTGCTTATTTATTACGGAATTGTCATCCTTACAAATTAAATTGCACCGCACCGAATGTGCCGCGCTCGCTTGTATCGGCCCCGAAACGATCCACCCCAAACGGGTGTTTTGCATGATAGGCCCTTTTGCAAGTTTGATTTGCCCAACGCATAACAAATTCCAAAAATAATCAGCCCCGACCAGCATATCTATCTTATCGGGTTTATTGAACAATGGATCCGCCAAGCGAATGTGTGTAGGTATTTTTAAAGTGTTTGCGTTTATTTCAAAATTGGGTAAATCATTCGCGATTGTTGCTATAACCAAGCAATTAACCTTAAGTGAAAAATCCGTGCAGTGTGAATGTATTCGCAATGAACAAGAACTCGTTATTGTTGACTGTGTTTGATTTATTGTTGCTACATTAACGTTTGTTGCTGTTCTAGACAATCTTAACCGCTTGCAAGCTTCTACCGAAAGAAAACTACTTTGACTGCCCGGATCCAAGAGTGCGCGTAATGAATGTTTTTTGTTATGTCTATCGAATGCGTGAACAGTTACGGTGGAGAGTAAGATGTTTGAATGATTTGCATGCTGTGCGAAATTTAGACTGTGTGCTTGGGTGGATGTCGTTGGTTGTGGTGGTGAATCTGAGCGATCGTGCGTCAAATGAAGTAAGGTATGATGACGAGAATTGCACCGTTTACAAGAGCTCGAACGGCATTGTTTAACAAAATGTCCCGACCGAAGACAATTCATACACACCTTTAATTGTTTGACCCGGTCTATACGGCCCTGAACCGTAAGTTTAGTGAAATTTGAACATTCCTGTATGTAATGTTCCCCATTGCAGTTTACACAACGCTTAACACCCGAATTAGCAACCAAAAACGTTTTTGATTTCGGTTTTGATTTATCGATTATCCGCTTACCCGAACCGTTTTCCAAAGTTTCCAATAAATCAGCGCGTTCTTTCAAAAACCCTAACAAATTTTCTAAATTCGCTTTGT